GTCTTTCTCATGTTAATATTTTTATTGTATTAAATCTATCTAACACTTAGAATGTTGTTCAATAACTAGGAAATTAATTAGGTATCGTATATTCAATTAATGACTAGGTAATGAAAAACGAGGGTCAACATATATGTTATTGTCTTATGATGAATATTAATATTTAGGATAAGTTAATTGTTTAATCGATGATCGGCGATGAAACCGAATGTCTTATGATGAATATTAATATTTAGGATAAGTTAATTGTTTAATCGATGATCGGCGATGAAACCGAAAGTGGATACCGAAGTTCAACCAAGGTTTTCTTTATTATTATTATTTTAATTTATTTAATTTCTTCCAAACACTCTAAATACAAAACCCTCTTCTTTATTACTTTTACACTACAAGAATAATCAAATGAAAAAAATGATCAATTAAACCTCATTTCTTGTGGATTTAACCCTTACTTATCTTAATTACATTATTGTGGTTAAATTTCGTGAGGACATTATAAATTACTAATTTATAGACGCGTACGACACGTCATCAAATTTTGCAATTAGTAAGTTAGTTATAATCAATTTCTTATTTTTCTTTAACTTTGTATATGTAGTTAAGGAGAATAGGAGATTGCAACTTTTGTAACAACTTTTTCATAGAAAGAGAATTCAATCTTTGCTCTTCCTCTAATTTCATCTTCAATTCTTCTCCCTAACTCAAACATGGTATCAAAGCTAAGGTTGAATTAGGGTTTTTTTAATCATCTTTACTAATTTGAGAGGTCATTAATGATGAATTTTACAGTGAATTCTTTGGTTGAAGACTCGCAATCTATATTTTTTCTTTATCATTCAGATAATCACAATTCTATGATTATATCAGTAAAAATTTGATCTTCCATAAGAGAACTATACACATTGAAATTGACTATCACTTTATCAAAGAAAAAGTTCTTGTTGGTATTTTTAAACTTGAGTTTGTGCCTTCTAATCTTTAAATTATAGACTTGCTTATTAAATCTTTACAGCCTACATAGTTCCATCTTCTCCTAGGCAAGATGGGTATTGAAGATATTCATGCTCTTCTTAAAGGGAAGTATTAAAAGAAAGAGAGAACACGCGACTGTTAGCTATTACCTTCCTTTATAACTAATCATTATATAGATTTTGTAGTTAACAAGTTAGTTAAAATCGATTTTTTTTTCTTTTTGAACTTTGTATATATAGCTAAGGAGAATAGATTGCAACTTGTGTAACAACTTTTTCATAGAAGGAGAATTCAATCTTTTACTTCTCCTCTAATTTCGTCTTCAATTCTTCTCTCTAACTTAAGCAAATTATACCACAATATTTGTCATAACCAAAAAAAAAAAAAAATGAATAAATGATAATAATAGCTTTTATTTTTTTATTTTTTTATTATTACTATTATTTTATTTTTTTATTATTTATTTTAGTTGAATTTATTTTAAAGAAAAGAAAAAGAAAAGAAAAAAAAAAAAATATATATAAAATCTTCAAGGGCATAATTAAGTCAATTAAAGAAATTCAGTACTTAAATTACTATTTATGGGGATCAAATCGAGCAAAATTATTCTTTACAGAATTGAAATTGTGCAAAAATAGACATGATTGCAAATGATTAAGACTCGCAGGGATCAAAGTGGAAGCTTGGAGCGAACGACATGACTAAAGTTGAGCGAATGACATATTGTTCGCTCTAGCCCAGAATTTCACTCTTGTTTCCCTCCAAAATTTGATTGAAAGTTATCCCAATCCTCTAACCATTTTTGGATTTCTTCGAATTCAATTTACCTCGATTATTTAGCTAATCAAATTTGAAATCAATAACAGAATTTTGAGTTCAAATAGGATAGGTAAAAATCTGAGGTTGAAGGTGTTTGAGTTGGAGTGAAATTCGAATAGGAATGCTTATAAAAGAGGTAAGAATTCGAGGAAAAGAAAAGGGGATTCTGAGAGAAAAGAGGGCGAGAAAGAATAAAGAGGGAGAATTCTGGTTTTAAAAAAAAATCGAAATACTTTTGGGAAAAATAGTGGTTGCGTTTTCTGGGTTTTCTGCATAATTGTTCTTGGTGTTCTTTGTCGTTGGGTTCTATTTTATCCATAATTTGATTCGTTTCTCAATCGATTTTAGTTCTTCTGGGTGCATTCACTATCCTCCTACGATCCTTAATCTAGATTACCCGTTTAAGGGTTACGATTCGTGGTTATTCAATTTTGCTTCTTCAGAATTCTGGGCAGGCGTTGAAGTGTTCTTGAATTTTTGGGTTTGTATTCATCTTGCGGTTACTGCTAGGGTTAATTCGTTGACCGATTCAGACATCTCATCTCAAGACTCTTGTTCTTGGTTTATAGACATCAACCTGTCTTTAAATAACCAAGGACCTCCAATTCATCTAGAATCAAAGCTTTGAACAATCATCATCAAGATCCATCAGGTCAGGACTGATAATTTTCATGATTCCATTAATTTTTGCTCCAAATGATATTTAATTATTGGCTTACGTTTTACATCGGGTATGTGATTGAGATAAGAAGATGAACATGACATGTTAAGATAAGAAATTCATTTGGGACGAAGCTTGGTTCTGGGAAAATAAAAACTTAAAGAGTGAAGCATGTAGAGAGAGGCCAGAAGCTAGGAATCTTGATTTCTTGTTTTGATCGAAAAAAGAAATAAAGCAGGGGAAGGGGCCTGTTTTTGGGGCTTTAGTTAGCTGGGTTTTCTTTTAAAACAAAAAAATGTGAGCTAGGCTACGCCCAACTCACGTTGAACAGAGAGCTAAAACAATTGAAAAAAAAAAAAGAAACGTGTTGGCCCAACTCATGTTGAACAGAGAGCTAAAACAATTGAAAAAAAAAAAAGAAACATGAGTTGGGCTAACTCACATTGAACAGAAGGCTAAAAAAGCGTGAGTTGGGCCAGATCCAACTCACATTGAACAAAAGGCTAAAAAATTGGGCCTAAAAAAATGTATAAAAATGGTTTAAAAAAATAATAAATAAAGGGATGGAAATAATAAATAAAATGGGGTAACAAAAAAAATATTGAAAAAGTAAAAAAATAAAATATCCCACTAGAATTTAGATTTGTGCATTTCATATTCAAAATATTTTATGGGCTTTAATTTTTATTTATTTATTTTATTTTTCTTTTTAGTCCTAAAATAATCGCATGTTTTGTCAACTTACATTTAATTTCTCTGTATTTTTTTTAGTATTTAATTTTTATGCATGTTTTGTTATTAATAAAAAAATGTATATATCTATATATATATAATATGCTCGGCGAAGTCTCCTTTTTATAAGAACTGTCGTTTCGAGGCGAGGTATCTTATCCAATAGGGATCGTCGTCAACAAAAAAAAAAAAAAATCAAAAATCATCATTTAATAATCAACATGTCCTTTGATACACAAGTTGTGTCGAGGCTCAAAGTGGATCCGATGTTTGAACCAATATATCGCCCGATGAAGGGGACCGATGATTGGTTCAATACGATGCCACGCTAAAAACTAAAAATACATGTTGCTAAAATAATTGTTTTATTTAAAAATTAGAAAATAAATTGGCATAATGAACAATGCAAGAGATAAATTTAGGGCTAAAACGAGATATGATACATTTCTTCGGAAATGGTATTTTTAGGGTGAATAATTATCTTCATGAAAGTGTAACGAATCGCTTAGTATAGAATCTCTAGATTAGTGTTATTTTTAGGTTCCTAGTTCTTTAATACTAGGTGACGACTCCAAAGCTATATAAATAAACTTATAAATATTAATCATAATTTAGTATTTAATTTTAGAAGTCCGATCCGATGTCGGATAAGGATAATATTTAGCACTAGCAGTTTGCAATCAAAACATGTTTCTTATGCACGGAATTAGGTAATGGGCACTATTAAAACATTCAATCTTAACTTAAGTCACATGGTTTGCACGATGATTGAATAATTTTATTCATTATTTTATCAGGAAAAAAATACGTCTAGAAACTTCTAGCTTTGTAAAAAATTTTCCATTCCATTTGCAGGTGCCGTAAGTTGACTGTTTTCTAACGCGGCATTTAGACTTTGAATTTGGACCACGTGGACCCCTCCTGCATGAATAGATCCCCACCAGTTAAATCAAAGAATTTTGTCACAGACCCCATATCCTCCGCTTTTTTTGGGGGGTTAAATCATAGCGGGGTTAATTAAATCAGCCCATATCCTTTTAGTTTTGAACAAACCAAACATCTAACTAACATAATTTGTACAAATGTCACATTGGACTGTGATTTTAAAAAGTATGAGGACTGTCATTACCTACACTCTATTGGTTGATTTAACCAATTTTTTTAAACTCGGGATACCAACCAGTGATTTATCTTTTTCTACTTTACTTTTTTCTTGAGGTGGAGTCAATTTTTATTTAAAAAAATAATGAAAGGAACAAAATACTAATGATGTTTCTTCAGAAGTGGGAAATTACTAATTATGCTGTTTTAAACCATTTTATTGTAAAAAAACAAATCTATTGTTAGGTATAAAATACTAAATCACACTCTGAATTTCCAAATCAAATATACATGTATTGAATTTTACAGACTAGGAAGGGGACCGTGCTTCCTCGCCGATAACCCTAATAATTCCTCTACTCAATCAATCACATCCATTCTCTCCATTCCAACCTCTCCAGCTAGCTTAATAAAAATTAATATATATATATATATATATATATATATATATATATATTTTTTTTTTTTACTTAAATTTTTCCTTGGACATGATGATCTCAGCACATTGCATCTCCTGGAACGTATCTTTGTGAATAACTAGGATGTGCTTCGACAGGTTATAATCGTTTTGCTAGTTACAAGACACGATGATCACACATTAATTGAATCGGTTCCAACGCTTCTTTGATCCCTAAAGCATCTATTGTCATTGACATGTGCAAGTTGCTGCCTTGTTCTAGTTATTAACGAAAATCGATGTATCCGAATCAAACAGAAAGATGTCGTTGAACTACTCCCAAACCTTTTCTTAGGGATAACAGTCGAAGTGGTTTGCTCAAACAGCAGGGCAGGGAAGAGAGGGAATGAATTTGAAATCGTGAGAAAGAAAGCATCGTGCATATGCCATTCACCTACCAGATTCGATGTGACAAAACCAATTCGAACACTCTTCCTCAACGCGTATAATACACTACTCCGTCACTTAATCATTAGTATCCAAATGAATTTTGATAAATAAGGTTTGGAAAGGAAAATGGTAATTGATAACGTTCCATGATATACACACATCACAAAGGTAACGGTTTTTGATACATAAAATATTATGATATTCCCATAGTATTACTAGTAAACAATTAGCATATGATATATACTTGTTTCGTTTCATTTATGATTTGCCGTTCGTATATATTAAAATATTACAATAAAAATAAGATTAATAGTCTCATTTATTTTTATATAATGGTCTAAAATTTTTATTTATCTCTATATTTTAAAACATTCTATTATATTCTTATTATTTTAGATAATTTTTATCATATTTTTTGATCAATTTTTCCTGTTAAACTATCAAAAGGTGATCAAATGACATTTTTTTTTCAAAAAAATACCTCTAATATGCATATAAACTTACTCAACATATCCATTTGTGAATGTTATTTTCATCAAAAGATAAATCATGGGGTTAATTTTAATGATTTGATCGAAAAAAATTATTTAAAAAGTAAATTAGAAATCAGTTAAAATAACAAATACATAATAAATTATTTAAAAATTTAAAAATAAATTTAAAACTTGAACAATTATATAAACTATTAATCCATAAAAATACTAAAAAAATGATCATATGATTATGAGACGATACTAAAAAAGCTAATGATGTACTCGTCGTTAAAAATTTTTCAACTTCAAACTCAGAATGGTTGATACAAACCCAACTTCGGAAGGCGATGTAAAAAAGAGGATTTTGTTTATGTTTTTTTTTTTTCCATAAAGAAAAAATTTGAAGGCTTATTTCGAACGTGATTTCCACATTACTCACAGGCGTTGGAGCTACCATATCCAATTGTACTGGTATTGAATTTAAAGAAGAATGATTTAATAGGATAAGGTTGAGATGTAGTTGGGGGTTGTTTTATTTATTTATTTATTTTGACAGAGAACCTTCCAGCTCGTATACAGCACGACAACAGCCATGGAAAGAAACGCCTAGAATCCTCTAAAACCTAAAAATATATAATAATAATAATAATAATAACAATAAAGTATCCTCTTAAAATTCACAGCGTATCATCCCAAATAACAAAAGCATTTTAACACTAATACAGAGGCTAGATTTGTGGATTTTGCAGCAATAGAGAGGCTTTTGGATTTTTATTTTTGTGGATTAGGTTCCGCATATTTAGTAGGTCACATCCTAGATAGTGCGTATATATTGTGTCAGCGGTTCGGAGCAAGACACATGGCAGCAATCCAAATGAATGGATAAAAGTTATGAGACTGGTTGGTTGGCTTGGTTTAGACCTTTTATGTGTAAGGTAGGAAATGAGAAAATTGTAGGAAACTACACTTACCATTTTTTCCATTTTTCCAAGTTTGAACCAAAATAAATAAATAAATACACCTACGAGACATCAACATCTTCCTTCTTTCTTTCTATGATTTTATGATTAATCATAGAAGGGTTTGGTGAGAGATTTTTGATCCTGAAAGAGGAGGAGGAGCCTTCTTTTTGTGTTTTTTTTTTTTTTTAATCCCATTTCTTGTTTTGAAGAAGGCTCTTTCTGCTTTGGATTACGACTTTTCTTCATTTTTGTAGGCTGAAAAAAAGAAAAAAAAATGATAAGATGGTGGATATCTGCTCTGCAATTAATAGAGCTGTTAGTAAGCACGGTAGTGCATTTGCTATATGGGTTTTACATATTTAGCACAGCTGTGGCTGGTGATCTTTCACAGGCGATGAATGAATGGTTTTTTAAGCCTAATGTGAATGTGGTTGTTAAAGAGGAGAAGACCAGAGAGTCATCATCAACAACAACAATAGAAACAACAAATAGTGTTGATGACTTGCCTCCTATTGTGTTGGTGCATGGAATTTTTGGATTTGGCAAAGGGGTAATGTGTTTTTTTTTTCCTTTTATTGCCATTATTTCTTAAATGGGGTTTTAAATGCATTTTGTGCCTCAAAATCAATCTCATTCTTGTTTTGGGACATGGGGTTTTGATTTTCTGTTTGGTTCCAGAGATTGGGAGGTTTATCATATTTTGCAGGAGCAGAGAAGAAAGATGAGAGGGTCCTGGTGCCTGATTTGGGGTCTCTAACTAGCATATATGATAGGTAATTAGTTTGCAAATGGTTGCTGTTTATGGGCTATTTTAAAGGTTTCATTTTGACAATATATTCTTCTCGCTTTAGTTTTAATTTGAGTGCTTCTTTCTGGGTGTCAGGGCACGTGAATTATTTTATTATCTGAAAGGTGGGCAAGTTGATTATGGAGAAGAACACAGCATGGCTTATGGGCACTCACAATTTGGAAGGATTTATGAACAAGGTTAGAAGATCTTTCCTTTTTAAATTTTAGTTTTGGTTTTTGAGCTATATCTCTATTTTGTCTTTTCTATATGGTTATTATCTGTGTTCAAGTTTGAAATGTCTTTGTTTGTTGTGATTGGAATGTAGGGCACTATGCTGAATGGGACGAGGATCACCCTATTCACTTTGTTGGGCATTCTGCTGGAGCGCAGGTTGTTCGCGTACTGCAGCAAATGCTTGCTGATAAGGTTAGTATAGTTTAATTTTAGAAAATTCAGTAAATAATCTCGTAAAATTTCATGTTTTGATTGTATGTTCGTTCATGATGATTTTGTAGGCATTCAAGGGGTATGAGAACACTTCTGATAAATGGGTGTTAAGCATCACATCCCTGTCTGGAGCATTCAATGGGACTACAAGGACTTACTTAGATGGGATGCAGTGAGTGTGCTTCTAAACTTGGTCTTCTATTTGAAACTTCTCTCTAGAGTTCTGTAGGTTTCAATTCGTAAAACTATCACTGACAATCTGCAGAAAGACAGTTAGGATAGGAAATTGCTAATGACTTTAGTATGCTTCTGCCTGCAATATGAAAATAATCAAACGCGGATATTCACTTAGAGATTTTCCCAAATGATGCTGTGGTTTAAATTAATGAAGCCCTTATTTCTCGTCCAATGTTTTCCCATCCTTTTTCTTTTTATTCGTCTCTCTCTCTCTCTCTCTTTAATTTTTTTAATACTGCTGTGTCTTTAACTAACACTCCTTGTTCATTATTAGTTGCTCTAGAATAGAGCTCTATGAATTTGCATCTAATTTGAGCTACATTTTCAATATTCCAGGCCAGAAGATTGGAGAAACATGAAACCAATATGTCTGCTTCAGTTCTGTCGCTTAGGAACAATAATTTATGATTGGCTTGACATTCCTTGGCTGAAGGCTTACTACAGTTTTGGATTTGATCACTTCAACATGTCCTGGAAAAAAATGGGCATTTTTGGTCTTCTTGACTGCCTGTTGGGGAATGCAGGACCCTTTGCTTCTGGAGATTGGATCCTTCCTGATCTTACAATTCAAGGGTCTATGCAACTCAACTGCCATCTACAAACCTTTCCTGATACATACTATTTCAGCTATGCCACCAAACGTACTAGGAGAATGTTTGGTATCACTGTTCCTTCAAGCATCTTTGGAATCCACCCATTGCTTTTTATAAGAGTGTTGCAGATGAGTCAGTGGCGTCACCCTCCAGATGTCTCCCCCATATAAAGGATACAGGTTTGTTCTTTTATCAACATATCATGCGCAATTGGGTTAATTAAGAATAGAATAATGCTGAAGCTTTCCTATAATTACTTACTGTTTTCATATTAGGATCATTTTATATGACTTTGACTTAATGTTTCAGTTTTATGTTTCATTAATGAGAAATATTTTTAATTAATTAAAATTTACCTTTATTTTATGGAGCTTGTGAGGAGCATTATAAATCTGTCTTTAAATAGTAGAATTTCAAAATTTCAATTACCCCCTGTGTTATGCTTGGATTCTAGCCAGAATTCAGTAGAAGGAACTCTACTGATTTTCAACAGTAATGAAAACTCTGTTGAAGCATATTATACATCTGTCTTTAAATGTGTGCACAGGGATGAGGATTGGCAGGACAATGATGGAGCACTCAACACCATATCTATGACCCACCCTCGTATTCCAGTCGAACACCAAAGTCAATTTGTTGCACATGATTCGGAGTGTCAACCCTTGCAACCAGGAATATGGTTAGTCATAACACTTTCAATATCTTTGTCTTGGATAGAACCTTAATTACTAACATAGTCACTCGCATGCTTTGAGCACAAACTTTTTAGTTGTGTTTAATAATGAGAGGTATTTTTCCATGCTGTATCTTCCTTATAGCTACCTTTTATGAACACCCGAGTCATCTTATTAGAAATTATTCGGTGTGAAAGCAAGAATATCTGTCTTGGACAGTTGGATGGGCCGTTTACTAACCTCACTTACCAACAGAGACGTAATTCTTAAGCATAAAAGTTTGGTCGTGAAAAATGCTATGTATTGTTATATGGAATGTCTACATTATAATCATTTAACAATAGGTACAGAAAAGTAGAGATAGAAATGCCTGTCATTCTAGATTTTCATCAAGACATTCCAAATTCATAGATAGTCTATTTTAGTTTTAAGACGATGAAATTTGGTACTTTATTCTGCAGCATTTCTTTGTTACCGATTATTATAATGCAGTTGAGTTATATTGGTAATAGCTCAGAATGATGACCAAAATGAAAACTGCTGGGGTGTTTAAAGGAAAAATGGCTCAAGGAGGCCATGGGAGACGCATAAAATATGCTTGGGTTATCACAGCATTGTTTCTTAAAGAACTTTGAAGGCATGAAACTTTAAGCTCATTATTCTCCTACAAGAGTCACTGCCTTCTTGTTCTTTGCATGTTTACAGCACGATTCCTTTAACTTTTTGCTGCTTGTTTCACGAAAAAGAAAAAAAAATGTTATTTTGTTAAGGTAGCTTACTCATGCAGTTTCTTTGGGATCTTTTATAGAAGCACTTGAATAGTTACTAGATATGTGAAATCTATGGAACTGAAGTTACAAGTCAAATCAATTTGTTGTTCTATTAAGAAGTTGAACTCTCATCCAGTATCTCTTTTACCCCTTCCAAGCTAACATGGAGGTGTATCTGGTTTAATGCAGGTATTACAAGATTGTGGAAGGGGATCACATATTGTTCATTGTGAATAGGGATAGAGCAGGACCTCAATTTGACATGATATATGATAGTATTTTTGAGCGTTGTAGAAAACACGCCTTTAGGAAGAGTAGACAAACTTTACCAAACGAAATCCATCAATAGTTCATTCTCTATTACTCAATATACAACTAGGAAAGAAAACCTGTCATAGGACACAATTCCTTGCCTCCCACAGGTGCATCTATAAATGTAAGTTTCTGTAAGGAATTGCCATCTTCAGCAATGTTAAAGCTGGTTTTGAAAGATACACCTTTGCTTTCGTTTACAATCATTTCATGCTGTTTCCATTCTATTTCTGGCAATAACCAGTCTAGTTTGTAGCCTTGCAGCGAAAGATATGATGTTGTCAACAGCTTAATTATGCTTTAGTCTTCGATGGGAAATTGATGGTGTCATTTGATTCCATTCTGAAGGAATCATCCTTGGTTCCCTTGTCTAAGTGTGTGTTTGGTGACGCGGTGCACGTGCTTTCGTAAAAATGCGTTTTAGATTGATGTTTTTCAGGGTTTTTTTTTCTTTTTTTTAATGTTTTTGGCATCAGCATATCCAAAACCATTTAAAAAGCATCAAATTGATTTTTTGTTTTTTTTTTTTCAGATTAAAAGCACTTATAAATGCAGGGCAAACGCATTATTAAATATAGTCTAATGGTTGTTTTGCTATGCCTAAAATATTAAAGATGGAAAATGTCTTGTAGGCATATTACATGGACAATATATTTAAATGTGTGAGCAGTGACATTAAAGTACTAGTAGTTAGAAATTGTTAAGATTGCCAATTAGATAGAGAAGTAAATGATAATAGTAGTGGTAAGGTGGTAATGCTGGGGAGGCCATTGATGGTTATAAATGATATGAAAAGGAAGTGATAGTCTATGATTTAAGAATCAAAACTAGAAAGTAAATTTCATTCACGGCTCTCTATCGAGAGGCAAGTTACCCTTTCTATCTTGCATTTCTTTTTGAAAAAAAACAAAAAAATTATTGCACTTTGCACTTTAAGTCACTCTGAACTTTTCCATCTGATTTTTTTGAATAATAATATTGCGCACGACATCCAAAGGTATCTCAGAGATCATGCCAAGAATTTGTCATTCTTTCTTTACCAATAATGGAAATATAGTGAAATTGAGGACAATTAAAACATAACAAGATTAAACTCGCAGGGGAAATTGTATTCTCACCTCCCGAGGGAGAAGAAGCTGTTGTAAATTTATTTAATAATGATAAAAAAAGAAATAAAAAGCCTGGCCTCACCTCCTGCTGTTCCTGTTAGGCTAGCTAGCCAAAAGAGCTTCACCAGACTCATTCCGTCTACATACCTAGATTATAGATCCTCTACCTATCTTTTTCCATAAGAACGGTGCGTTCCGAGGTATAAACTATAAAGTGGGAGATAGAAGATTTCATGCATGAGGTTTTAATAAGACCATCCTTCTATTTTCTTTTTCATATTGAAAAAGCAATAAGAACAAGTAATGTTCAGCTTTTCATCATCCTGACATCGGGCTATTTTTCCACAGGACTTCCAACATAGTATTTTCATCACAGTAGAGCTTAACCATCAAGTTCGAGATGAATTGGTGTGGTTCTTCTACGTCTAGGACACCAGAATATCAAAGTATGAACGAAGAAAGACATGAGCGGGCTAGTGATTTTGAGGCACCAAAGGCCTCTACGCTTCCTTCACTTGGATCGATAGAGAGCGAGGGCAGAGCTTTTGTTTAATATAATATTAAACACCAGAATTAATAATTAAATTTCAAAACAACCTCACATAAATCATGAAAATATTAGCATAATAAATAAATAAATTGCAAAGTAATAGTAAATGGACTCCAAAAGTTACCAAATTTAAAACCTAGGCTGAACCAACTCTAAAAATTTTAGATTAAAGTAAAATAAAAAATGGATCAAATAATTTAATTTTGAAACAATTCGCGCAAAATTTTAGCTTAGGGTTTGAAGGATAATTTAGCTGTTTTATTTTGCTTAGATCGTGGTGGCTATAGATAATGAGTAAAGGTTTTTTTGGTGGTTGGTGTTGGTGGTTTGGTAAGAGAGATGAGTGGAGATAATTTTTTTTTCTTTTGTCCAGGTTTCTTTTTCTAAAAGATGAATGACCTCCCTCTACGTTTTTTTTTTTTTAGGAGAGTGAATGGTGTCTGCCTTTTGAGAAGGAGAGAATGGGGATTTTATAGTAAGGTTTTTTGGGGCTGTGGGTAAAATTTGACTTGATCTTCCATTCTTTTGATTTTTTTTTTAATTCTTCCATTCTTTTGAATTTTTTTTTTTAATTTTAGTTCTTGTCTCATTATTTTCTCATCAATCACGCCTATAATTGAAATTATTTGTCCCTTTTCTTTTAATTTTTTTTAATTGAATCCTAATTCATTCTAATTTAAGGATTTTGATTTTTTTTATTCTCTTTAAATTATACCCCTAATTGGATGTTATTTGATCCTCATCTCTCACATCTTTGTTAATCCAACCCCAATTCATCTTTTCAAATTATTTTCTTTTTCTCTTTCTTTTCTTTTCATCTCTCTCTCTCTCTCTCTCTCTCTCTCTCTCTCTTTAATTTTCTTTTGTTATTTAATTAAAATTAGAGTATAATCCTAAGAAATTAAAATTAGAGTATAATCCTAAGAAATACCTAAAAATTATGAAAAGATCAAGAAACTATGTAACATGTAATTTTTTTAATTTTTGTATAAAAATAAAAATTTATAGAGGTCAAAAATGGGTTATGACAATTGGCACTCTATATAAAACTTACACTGCAACCAAAAACCCATGAAAGGGTATAAGGACATAAAAAACTAGAAAAAACAACCTTAATTTAAGAGAAATACCAAAAATTTGGACAAACAGACAAATAAATTGGATAAATATAAAAAAATATATCATATCTGGTAGGGAAAAAAATACTAGATATGAGATTATTGAAAGAAAACACTAAAAAAAGAAAGAAAAGCGTCAAATATGGTAAAAACCGGAGAAACTCTCAAATTCTAGAGAGTGAAGCTTTTGGAGGACCAATTGGATATGGATATGGATGATTTAACCTTATGATAACTAATAATAGTAATAATAATAATTGTCGACATTCACGAGACTTCCAAAAATTTTAATTAAATAAAATTTATTTATTTGTTTATTGAGGATGTGAATTAAATCACGTTTTAAAGTCGTCATTTTGTATTAAAGGAACGAAGAAACCTAAAATTGACATTGGATTAGAGATTCTAAGATAAAGAGTTGGTTATGCTTTTAAGAATATATCGATCACTTAAAAATACTATTTCCAAAAAAAAGTATTATGTCCGGTTTGATCCTAAAATTTTATCTCCTAAAAAATTTTATTTTTGCCAAGTTAATTCTCAAGTCGAAATTTTGAGTTTTATTTTCTAAGCCAATTAATTTTTATTATTTTTATTTGTGGCATCATATTGAATCAATCGTTGAATCCCGTCGTTGAGAGTCTCGTCAATTTAACATCGGATCCAGTTTAAGTCTTTACATAACTGGTATATCGATCAACAAACTAATTACTAAAATATGATTGATTTGAATTAACATCGGTTCCAATTGAATATGAGATTTGTTAATTTTCAGCTAACACTTCTCTATATATATTTTTTCGTTCTTTTCCTTTTCTTTTTTTTTCCATGTCTTTTTTTATCATTTTCCTTTCATTTTCACTTTTTTAGGTTTTTTTAAAAGTTGGTGGGAATCATCATCAGTTCTTAAAAATTATGAAACTCAACGATCCACTCACCTATTAGTTACTTAATTAAACTAATAGTTACTTAAGTAATATTCAACATTAAATAAATCTGAAACTAAATTATCAAAACCTAAAAGATAAAAACCCAAACATGCATGTGACTCTAATATCTACTACCACAATTTCAGATTTAATTAATATTAACTAAGAAAACACACTGAAATTTAAATAATTAAAACAATTAACAACTAGGCATAAAATTAAATAAATTCAAAATAAAGGGACAAATGAACTTCACAAAGCCTAAAATTTTAAACTTAAACAGAAAATAACCACATGCAACACACCTAAAAGTTTTAGATTAAATTAAGCAAGGAAAGCTTGTTAAATAAATCCTAAAAGTTTGAAAGTCTATTGGGCCTTTGGTACATCGGGCTTTCAGCCCTCTGGGCCGAGCCAATTTGGGCTCATATTCTCTCTGGACCAACCCAAGTCTACTGCCCAGTCCATTTCTCTCTTTTCTTCCTGACCAGCCCAAGTTCGGACCCAAGCCTATGGTCCATTCCCCTTAAAACCAATCCAGTCTAAAATAATACCCCCCAGCCTGAGTCTATCTCTCCTAGCCCAGCCTAAGCCTAACAAACCAAAGCCCAACCCAGCTTAAGCTTTCCTAAAGCCGACAAACACCAACCCAAACCATTTTTTTTCGATCGCGTAACTCTCTTCCTCTCTTCTTATTCTATTCCAAACACACCATCCCAGTATATTAGTTTCGAAAATTTCCTTATCAAAACAGATTGAAACCTAGACACATAGCACTCGAATTCTCATCTTTCACCTTCATTCTTCATTGACAAATGAACCAAGGCCAGGATGTAGGTTATGTGATTGAACTAACAGGTATTGCATGATGACAGGGACATAGCCACTATCATCATTTGTTTTTGAAGAATCAGGGTGCAAGACCCAGAGAACTGGAAGCAAATATTGTGAAAGAGATGGGATATTTACCTGGTATGGATGAAGGATGAAACTGTGTTTGGACAAATGGATGGTTGTAGAGGGGATTGTCTCCTTTGTTTCCTCTGTTTCAAACACCCAGAACTTCTTGTTTTAAAACCCTGGAATCCTCTTTGCAAACCCAATAATTCTCCCTGTGAAAACCCCAAAAATTCCTTTTTAAACGCAGAAATTGTTTCTATGAACACTCTATACCTTGAAACCCAGAAAAATTCCCTCTATCAAAACCGCAAAATACTTCTCCTAAAATCCTCTCTGAATTCTCCTTTTAAACCCAGAACTGTTGTTTCTTTTGAAACCCAACCCCAAACCCAGAAAGTCAATACTCCTCTCTTTTTTACTCTTGAATGTGCCTCATTTATACCCAAACTTCGACTCTTCTCCGTCCTAGGATCACCCCCAATCGATCAGAACCATTCCCACTAGACATCAAAACCCCCGACCTCCTGCATTTCGTTTGTATTGTACAGAGCCAAAATAAAAGTTGTGCACTGTGTTTGTGTGGGTCTGGCGTAAATGTGATGCAAGTGGTGTGTTGTGTTGGACGCAGTGGCTGAAGCGTAATTCCTGACTAGTACAATTGCCAGCCAGGAATCAAGTGTACTGAACGTTAAGGAGTTTGTGCTCAAGGCAGATGTTGAACAATATCGCGGAATTGATTTTGGATTGCAGTGAACAACATGTTATTCGGTCAAATTTTGTCCTGTCGTTCGCTCTTCATTTTTATTTTAGTCCCTGCGAGTTTCAATTGTTCACAATTGTACCCCTGTTTTCAATTAATTTCACTCCTATTGGCTTTCAATTTCAGTCCTGATTTCATTACATTATATCCTTATTTCATTCAATCATCCCTAATTGTTCAATTTCAGTCCTGACTAGTTTCAATTCCAGTTCCTATTTCATTTAATTTAACCCCTTAATTAATTATTTCATACAAAAGTTTTTATTATTATTATTTTTGTGTTTCCATTTTTTTTTTGTATTTTCATTTTCCTTTTTTTTTTTTTTTGAAAAATTGATAGTAATTAATTTTAATTTTTTTTCTTTTTTGTTACAGTAAAAGAGAATTCCTAAAATTAAAAATAAAAATAAAAGTGGTAAAAATAAATCAAAATAAATATGAAAAATAAGACAAAATAAATAAACAAAAAATACTGAAAAATATTAGAACGTAAACGTAACTTAAATTTTGAGTTACGAAAGCAATAATAATAATAATAAATTTCCTTTTATTGCAACAGATAATGTTGTTCTATTTTGAATTGCTTTTTCTAAATATTACACATGTTCCATATTCGGATAGATGTAGTTCAAGCTATCCAGGACTACTTCAAAGGTGATCATTTACCTTGAGGTATGTCTTCTACTATACTTGTCCTCGATCCCAAAATTGGAGAACTCGAGCATGTCTAGGGGATTTGCGACTAATTAGCTTGTCAAACTTTAGTTGTAAGATAATTTTTAAAATTTTGGCTTATAGGCTTAGTATAGTATTGCCTAGTTAAATTGATCGAGAACAAGTTAGGTTTGTCAAAGGAAGAAGCATAACCGAAAATGTTGTTTTGGCTCGAGAGTTAGTTGCAAGTTTAAATAGGAAAGCTCATGGGGATAATCTACTTTTTAAGTTGGACATGTTGAAGGCTTATGATAGACTAGAATGACCATTTTTTGTTAAAGGTGATGAGCGAGATGGGATTTAATGAAGTGTGGTGTGACTTGGTATATAAGAGTATTAGCAATATTTGGTATACCATTCGGATGCGGGAAAAGAACTTCGGCTTTTTAAAGTTTAGCGAGAGGAGTTGGGCAAGGTGATCCTTTGTCACCGTTGCCGTTTATTTTAGCACAACAAGTTCTATATGTTAGCTTGAATAATGCTACATTAGAAGGGTACATTCGGCCATATGCCCCAAGTTGAGGTGTTTTGTCGATTTCGCATCTTTTTTATGCATATGACATGTTGCTTTTCACTAATGGATCAAAAAGATCATTGATACGTTTAAAGGGGTTGATCAAACAAGTATGAACAATACTCGGGACAAATGTTGAACATGGCTAAGAGTGGTTTTTATAATCCTTGAAAGATGACGACTCAAAGAATAGCAACTATTAAATAGTGGACGTGGCGTGAACATTTTCAATTTCCAATGCGGTATTTAGGTGTGCCTTTGTTTGCTAGAAGATTGTGGCAAATGTATATCTTGCTTTTAGAATAGAAAATCGGGATGAGATTAAGTGGGTGAAAGACAAGATTATTGTCATTTGGTGCGTGACTCACCTTACTCCGGACAATAATTAGTAGTATGCCCATACATGTACTTGCAACGAACTCCAATTCCTAAAGGAACGTTACAAATGATTGAGAGTTAGATGATCAATTTTCCGTGGAGTTCGTTAGGGGATAACAAACACCATTGGATATTTTGGAGTCGAGTTTGTATGCTCGAAACATGAAGGAGGTCTAGGCCTAAGGAGTCTAGGATAGGTAATTTCAACCCTATAAGCAAACTTAGCTCGGTCTTATCTTTACGGCTCGAGTCTTTAGGTGCGGTTCTTACATATGAAATATGATGACAGAGGTAATATTTCGGGGATATCTTCTCATATTTGAAAAGTCGTGGCCACACGAGTTGCCGAGTTTAATCTCGGTTAATCAATGGATAATAGGCAAAAGGATCTATCCTATTTAGGAATGTTAATTGGTGTGGTACCCCTATAGAGTCCCCGCGACCTATGGATGATAGACTTACTCGTAAGGTAGACTTTTTAGGAATTAGCAAAGTTCCCGCCTTTTATTCTTCCTAGGTATTATAATGAGTTAATGCATCTCCACTTTGATGATTTAACCGATGACAGATTGATTTATATGTTGACCAAAACAGGTGTTTTTAAAACGAAGTTCTATTGGAATCATTATCGCACTCTTTCACATAAGTGACCCTAGGCTACAAGGATATGGAATGCTTACATACCGACAATGGTGATGATATTCATATGGAAGTGGTTTTGAGGTGCTTTATCGGTTGATTCTAAGATAAAGGAACTCCATATCCCTAGTGTCTCTATATGTTTGTGCTATTCGGATCATAAGGAAGAGGCCTTGGCCCACTTGTTTTAGGAATCATGGATTGCTTTGGAGGTTTAGGTGCATTTTGGGAATATTTTTGGCTTACGACATTTTTTGGGTTCCATGGAGGTATGTGTGAAAACATGGTATACATCGATTAATATGTTGTCGTGCATATGCCAAGTAGGTACTTTCGTTTTGTTTTATGGGAATTATGAAAAAGCACATGTAAGACCAAATATGAGGATGAACAAATGAATCCAACCGACATTATTCGCGAGTTAAAATTGATTTACGGGATATATGTATCTTATATTCTCCCAAAAAACATATGAATATTTGTGGCTAAAGGAAAGTGCAAGAGCTTGGTCTAGTTACAATTCAGCCAAAATTCAAGAGAGAAAATTGGCTTAAGTGAGAGTTGCCCCCAACAAGTAAGTTAAAATTGAATGTGGATGGGTCGGCAAGTGAAGGCTTTTGTACGGGGGAGGTATTTTGTCAAATAAGGCAAGGGTGTTTATTATAGGTTTTGCTAATTTTTATGGAGAGGGTACGGACTCTAAGGCTGAAATTTTATCTTTCCGAATGGATTACTTTTGTGTAAGGATTTGGATTTGGATTCGATCATCATTGAATCAAATTCTATACTAGTGGTTAATATAGTTTTAGGCATAAATAAGATCCCTTGGGTGTACATATATTCATTTTATGAATGTCGGGAAATAATGGGCGGTAGTCATTAGGTTATGCATATTTGTATGGAACAAAACATAGTGACGGATAGGTTGGCTAATAAGGCTATTCAGCAAAAGACTATGAGTATCTATAAAGGTTATTCTCAGTTACCACTTGCTGTTAGAGTGGCTAGTAGGCAAGATAGGATGGGGCTATATAACTACAGGATGTTATTCTGCTTTTAGGAGTAAGGCTTACTTTGTCCTCCCAATATGTTTGAGTTGTGCTGGATTGTCCCCCTCTTGTATTTTTTATGATTTATTATTAATAAATTATTAGGTGCCGTCTCTGTTTCTAAAAAAAAAAAAAAAAGTTCCATATTCGGATAGAGGGAGGGAGGGAGTAGATATACACAAAATCTTATCTTTGGAAGTATTAGATATATGTATATACTCAATATATTACAGCCAACCCGTGCCGTAATCCAATTAACAACAGAAAAGAAAAGAAAAATGCTTCCATATAAGTATAATAATGACGACGATACACTCTTAATTATATAGAATCCAAGTTAAAAAGAAAATAATAATAAGTTTCTGACAGATTATTAATGTAGTACGTATAAATACATGTATTTGCAAATCCCATCAAAGCACATAAACGAGAAACCACAAGCACTGACTGCAGCAAAGGGAACGAAAAGACCAATGGGCGGTTTAGAGAATGGAGAGACCAATAACCAAAACTCATCTCTTTCGACGATTAAGGTCACAAAGACAAGTCTCTCACCGGATTCCATAATCAATCTTGATCAGTAAGTTCTCCTATGGAAAAATTAATAGCATATGTTTCAGATTTTATGATTACACAACCTTCATTGTGCCAGCGTTGCGCTGGTGCAATGGCCTGGCTGTGTTCTGGTGCCTAGCCATTTAGGGTTTCACAGTTTTGGTCTGATATGATTACCATGTAGTGTTGTTATTTAGGATAAAGTTTTATTTTGTCAAAGGGTAGTTAGATAATTATATGGAAGTGCAGGGGCGATCCAACGTTGTTCGAACCATACTGGAGGAGAATGGGAGACAAGTGCACGGTGGTGATTGGAGGGTGTGATTTGATGAGCTATTTCAGTGATGTTAGCAACATTTGCTGGTTTTTGCAGCCACAACTTGGTGATGCCATCAAGAGATTGCATCGTGTCGTTGGAAATGCAGTAACAGAGGATCGCCACATCGTGGTTGGGACTGGTTCCACACAGCTCTTAATGGCTGCTCTATATGCTCTCTCTTCTCCTGCTGATCGCCACCCCGTCAGTCTTGTAGCGGCTGTTCCTTATTACTCGGTAGCTACCCTCCCTGCCTCATCAAATTTTATTCCTTTATTTTGCTTAATTGGCTTCTTCAGTTTACATAATTGGTTACAAGTTTTCACATACATTCACTTAATCTGAAACCCAACATGAAACTCAATTAATGTGTGGATTAGAGATGACAATCTGATCTGTCCTGATGGGACCTCGCTCCGCCCCATCACGTTTGAGGTGAAGATGGTACCTAAAATACGCCTCAAACGGGGCAGATGGCTCAGATGGCCATCCCCACCCCGCTTAGCTTTTTTGTCTTTAAAAATGATAGTTTGACGGGATCCTGTCCTGTCCTATTGTCATCACTAGTGTTGATCGAAACTAAATATTAGATTAGGTGGATTTCTTTCAAATTAGATAACACGACACATAATATTAGGAAAATATAAATTTGAATTTTAACTGTTTAGATTTTATTTTATGAAGCCAGCAGCCGTTTAGTTTTTTTTTTAAAAAAAATACTATATTTATTTTTGTGTATAAGAAAATCCAAACTATGAATTTATTTTCGAACCTCGTATGATAGGTTAGGTCACCAAAGAATTAAATGTATATGATCCAGACCAGCCAAGTCAGTTTGACACGTCAAAGTCAAACCAACAAAAGTAGATATACATAATTTTTTGTCGTCTATTTGCCTTGAATCTGAACAGAACTACTTAATTTAATTTGCTTAAGCAACTGTCGAACCGCATTTTTTGCCGAGTTTTTCCCCTCTTTTTTTTTTTTTTGAAAAAAACAATTTCAAATATTTATTTATAGAACCATCTTAGCTTGGTTAAGATAATTAAGCTTGGTCGGTCGTCCAACATGTGTTTGATTGAAAAACAAATCTTGCATACACGATCATTAAAATTATTTGTGAAGAAGAGAGAATTAATTTATTAACCTGCTGCACAGTAATGGTATTTCTTACAAATCAAATTAATAACTCAAAATTCGACAAAAAGAAAAGGAAAAAAACGAGATCGGTTTGTAACAGAAGACATGGCGACAAACATGTTTCTTAAAGAGAGACTAATATTTAGGCTGTAACATGACCATGTCTAGTTTGTGTCAAAAATTGGGAGAACTTGTGCTTGGTGTTTGCTAAGCAATCAAATCTTGGTATGGGCTAATCCGCATTGGGCGTCGGAGATCAGCAGGAACAAAAATGTTTGATTCTTAAAAAAAGGCAAATCCGTCTCCCTGTTCTGCACCCAGCCGGTGAGCAGACAATCTTGCATGTTACCCACATTTTTCATAAACTTCGCTGCAAAACCTCATGCATGCACTTGCTTAATAATACCAATATTATATATAATACTAACTTCTCAAGTTAATTCATTATATTATATGCAACTGTCTTTCAACAGAGTTGCAAACGCTTAATTGCTTGCGTGCATATTCACATGCGCGCGCACACATACGCATAATTAATTAATTAATCCCTACAAGTTAAAGTTTGAATAATGTGATTGCTTCCCTTCCATTGACATTAACAAGTTTTCTTAATTTCCTGCTCACGTTTCTTAATTGACAACATACTGGCCGATGGAACACATGCTTCACTACCTCCTGGTATGCCTATAGTGAAAAGAGGAAAGACCAATTCTCTGGGCTTCATTCCCTGTAAGTGAAATAGTAATTGATTTAAGTGGCTATGACATTCATAATTTCCTGCAGGGATATAAAGATCAGGCCGAATTCCTGCGTTCAGGACTCTATAAGTGGGCAGGAGATGCGCATACCTTTGATGAGGATGGACCTTATATTGAGATCGTAACCTCGCCAAATAACCCTGATGGTGCTGTCCGAGAAGCTGTGGTGAACCGCGAAGAAGGGAAGCTTGTCCATGACCTTGCCTACTACTGGCCACAATACACTCCTATTACTCAACCCTTGGATCATGATATTATGTTGTTCACATTTTCCAAATGCACTGGACATGCTGGTTCCCGGATTGGGTGAGCAACACATTCCATGCTAATCATGCTTTAGTTAAGAGATTAAAGTCGCAATGCCATGACTTAGTGTTGGTAAAAAATCGCCGCAGTATATCATTCTACTCAGCATATGTTTAATTTGTAGTTCATCTTGTTCCTTTCTGGTAATTCTTTTATTTCCAAATTGAAGCTGGGCAATTGTCAAGGATAAAGAGGTAGCTAAAAAGATGACAGAATACATGGTGATCAGCTCCATTGGTGTATCGAAAGAATCCCAGCTTCGAGCTGCAAAGATTATTGGAGTACTTAGCGAATATTGTCAACACTTTATGACTGCTGATTCAGAGAACTTCTTTGAGTATAGCAGTAGCATTCTGAAAGAAAGGTGGGGGAGGTTGCGAAATGTTGTTAAAAACAGCAAAATCTTCAGTCTGCCAAAGTACCCACAAGGTTACTGCAACTTCAGCGGAAAGTACACAGACCCAAATCCTGGTAATGCTCATAATAAGATCATCATCATCGTTATTATTATTACTAGTTTTGAAATAGGATAATACAACTTTGTTGTATGCTCGTTTGAAAGGATTTCTAATATATTTTTCGATTTTCTGTAAACAGCTTTTGCATGGTTGCACAGCAAGGAGGATATAGACTGGGAGAGTCTTTTAAGAGAGCATAAGATAATAGCAAGAAGCGGGCAGCGGTTTGGGGCTGGTCCAAAGTATGTCAGAATTAGCATGTTTAGTCCGCCAGAAATGTTTAACCTTTTCTTGGAGAGGCTATCAGCAATCATCGTCAACACCAATGGAAATGTAGTGACTTGATGCATGGAATGAGAAGAAAGCTCGATCATCAAATAAAATGTTCTTGACCCACCCGTCTTTGAGAACACTGAGAGTACACGTGCAGTAGGATCTTAGCTGCTATCTATGTGAAACACATTTTATACAGCTTTGGATTCTTTGTACACATAATGGGATGTGCAATTTCTATGATTGTTGCCATATTTAATAGAATTTTACCTTATCAAGCAATTCCAAATCCCAAACAAAATAATTCAATCCTTAGAATCCACAACAAGGGCAATTCCATAGTATAATTCTAGCTTGAACCGACCACTATATGGCGTGGTCTGGTGGTAAGGAAGTTATTTTAATTTAATTAAGATCAAGATTTAATTTACACTATTCATAAATAATTAGTCATAATTATTTTTTAGTGATAATAAATTTGAATTTATTTGATTTAAAAAAACTTAATAATTAATTAAAGATTAAGTGTGTTTCGATACTAGTTTAGCCGATAAAGTAATTCGAGTTTGAACCAATTGAATACTTATATATAAGTCTCAATAGGCCCAACAACCTTTCTTATGTTTGTAGATAATACGCCAATCATGGAAAGGGAATGAAAATAAATAAATACATCTTTCATCATTAAAATAAAAATTTTCAAGTCTAGTATATATGGTGCTTTCTCTACTGAGATTCCACAAGTCTAAGAATACAAGACAGCGGAGGATGGTATACTTTATTGAATATATGCTTTAGATCCAGCTGATGGGTAGCTTTAGCATAACGCATAAGAAAAAAGTACCAGGATTGAAAATAAAATAAAAAAGAATGATCGAAGTGTATGTTTGTGCATTTGTGGCGTGAAAATAAAAATTTATTTTATGCTCTCAATTATTGTGTGTGTTTAGTTTAATTGTTTTCTCACAAAATCTAATTTATACACAATAAGCATAAATTTCCAAAAGTAGTATCAAATCTTTCGTTACAATATTTTTGTAAATTAGATGAAAAAAAATAATTTGAGAACCATAATCAAATTGACACATGGCTTCAAATTATTCAATTTGAAAATCGAAGATAGAAGATTTATTTTGTTATCATGATTTGTTTGATCCGATTAAATTAGATAGAGTCAAACCAACTGGTAAGATTAATGATGCTTGAAAAAAAGGGCATAGGAAAGCTATTGAAGCTATCGGACAAAGGGTGGGTAATAATGTATTTTGCCACGTATCTAAATAGACGAATGCCTATAAATTATAGAAAGATTAGAGAATAGGTATGCAAGAAAGACTATATGGAATTTTTTTATTATTATTAGGAAGCTCGTGAATTTGAAATATCAAGATAGAAGGTCCGTTGTTGAACATTTAAGTGACTCGTTAAGATTTGATTAATCAATTGATAACTATAAAAAAGATGATGAGTTATAAGTATTATTGCTTTTGAGGACTTTACCATACAATTGAGAGATTTTGATTGCAACACTTGGTAATTCTACTTCAAATATTTTTTTATCATTTTTTATGATTAAAGATTGTTTCTTCAATGAAAAAACAAGGAGAAGAAAAGTGGTAGTAGATGAAGCAAAGCTCTTGTCACGAGAGAAAGGAATAGAAATAAAGAATTTTATGGGTACGATAAATCACGAAGCAGATTACAAACCAATGATAGTTTTAAATATTATCATTGTGAAAGACAAGATCACATAAAGATAAATTATAAGGAATATAAGAAAGAATAAGAAGAGCTAAAAAAATCGAAGGAATGTAATAAAACACCACTCGTAGTATTAACTTCATATTAGAATGTGATGATGCTCTTGTATGGAGAAGATAAGTGTAATGTTGTAGATTTTTGTATTGAATGAGTTGCTAAGTCAACTGCTGTATATCATGATATTTCTACAAAGGAATCTTTACCGTAAACAAAGCGAAAGACTTTGACAAAGTAATGATGAAAATAATGGTTACTAGTATTCTAGGAGTTGGTGATGTGTGTATATAAAGACATGCATAGATTGTATATAGATTATAAAGGATGTGTTATATGTATTGGATTTATAAATGAATATGATTTCTACTCGTGTCTTAGAGATTGTCGAATACTATAATTATTTTGGTGGTGGAAGATAGAAACTCACCAAAAGATCAATGATTGTTGCTTGATGTAATATTTGTTATAAACTATAAAAGACAAATGTGCAATTTATCAAACCTAAAAAAAAGAGTGTATTTGGATATAGAATTTCTTTAAAATTATGGTTTAGAATATATACTCAAGTGAGTAAAAAAGAATTGACAACAAAGTCTTGTGTTAGTTTTTTTCTTTAAAAAAAAAATATTGCCACATATGCAGGGAGTATTGAATTCAGAATTCAGAATTGATATTGAGCTAACAGTTGGTAATGATGATGATATGAACAAAGAGAGGATGATATTCAGAATTAATATTGTCTTGTTGATGAGGAGAGAGAGAGAGAGCTATTTAGCTTTTGTAATGTTTTGAAATGATTCTTGAAGATAAATATCTTGTTGTATGTCAACAAAATCGATAGTTTATTGTATATCAATGTGGCTAACAGTAACTATGGATGATGAGTTGAGAATTTTTCATCATGGACTAAAAGGGGAGATTCATTAAGTATATGCTATAGGTCTTGCGCATGAGTGGTCTTAGCATAATCCATGAAGAAATAGATTAGGAAAAATACTGAAGAGGAAAATAATTAAATAGGACAAGTACTATAATTGAAAGTAAAATAAAAGGGAATTAATAAAGTGTATGTTGTGTATGTGTGGCATGAAAAGAAATAGAAAGTTTATTTTGCTCTTTTATTGGTTTTTGCGACACTTCACATATATATATATATATATATATATATATATATATATATATATATATATATATATATATATATATATATATATATATATATATATATATATATACCCCCAAAAAAATATTACAATTGCCAAGAGAGAGCAATTGGAGGGAAAAGAAAAGAAAGTAAGGGTTTTTCTTATTGTTTTGCAAATTCTCTACTAAGAAAATAATGATTTTTGGGACACCAAATATTATGATTTTTTTTCTCATTGATTTTTGAATACTACAATCACATAAAATTACAATATTCAATGTAATGATCTCATACAGTATTAGGTTTTGCAAAAACACAAATTTTACAAATTCCAGGTTTTTGTAGTGAAAAAAAATATAACTAGAGAAATAACTTATATTATTATCTATATTTTTTTTTCTTAAGTTCACCAAAAAAAAAAAAAAAATAGTGATTGCGTTACTTTTTTATTAGATAATTTCAGAGTTATTTCCGTGGTTTTCCCCCATAAATTTAGTGTTTTTGTGATTGTGGTCTTTTAATTGATTTATTTTATGCTCTAGATTATTTTATGCATTTCGTTTAATTATTTGCTTATAAAATCTAATTTATATGGAATATGATTAAATTCACAATAGTATATACTTCACCGGAACATTATGGTAAATATAGAACAGAATGCAGAAGATACTATTTGAGAATGTAAAGCAAAAGCATTACATCCTTGAACAACTTCCTATGGAAACTATTCTGGGTAATGTTTCTCCTTTCCATGATTTGAAAGTCCGAAGGTTTGGAATGTTTTTGATCTTGTAATTCTTTTCTCCATTCAATCGCCTTGCAGGGTCTGGATGCATGGGGAGCAAACACAGGTCCTGAAGTGTGGAAATGTTCTGTAAAAGCCTTCAGGAAGAAAAATCAGGCTCGAACAATAACAACTAAGATACCTTAGAAACTCAGAACCAATCATGAGAGTTTCCAACACTAGGAAACCACCAGCATTGCAAAATTCTTTGCCAATGTGCTTTGCTTTGTAGCCTTCAAAAAGGCCGAGAGCTTCAATTTGGGAACTGAAGGACTGAAGTTGGATTCTTCTATAGATAAGAAGCGGATAAAATAGGGGGCGAGGTTTTCCATGGAGGCAAGCCACACGGGCATCTCAATTAAGCCTCCATGTAAATAGAACTCTTGAAGAAGAGGTGGAGGAGAAAACGTGTTCAATTCAGGAAAAAGAGTAAACCATGTACCTTCAAAGTAGGTTTCCTCTGCTTCTAGCGATAGGGATATGAGGTCATCCATCTTCTTTGTGACTGCAAATAGCTATCTGGCATGATCTTCAGACACGCTTAATGCCAAGCTCTCGTAACTGGGTGAAGGCACTCAATTCTCCAGCAGTCCCATCTCCACCGTAAATACCAGAAAAAGTGAGAAGATTTACCGATGTTACAATTCCCTCCAAGCTCCAATTTCACAATCATTAATGTTTTTGGACGCTAGAAGGTGTCTCAACTGTTGGATATTCAGAATCTCTATCGGTAATTTTCTTAGGTTTCCACGCATTCTTGTATCCAGAGTTTGCAGCCTTTTAAGAATACCTAAAGTCCGTGGAAGCTCATCTAGATTCGAGTTAACCAAGCCAAGTACCTCAGGTTAATCAAGTCTCCCACTTCATTAGGTAAGTACTCTATCTTGCCATTCAAATCCAACACCAAAAAAAAAAAAAAAAAAAAAAACTTTTGACAAAGGATGATTGCTGCAGATTTTGATTTGCTTATCTAGTTGTCTACAAGAATTGTAGAGAGAGAATTGTTTTAAGCCCGCTTCTCTTCTCATGTCCACAATTAATTCCTCACCACAACCACTACATGAGGTCCACCACCAAATAACAACGTTTTCAGAACTTTTCTCGCAGCTCTATATCACTCCTCTCCGAGTCCGTCCAAGTGTTTAGCGGGCAACGTGGAAATATTGCACGGCTATCATTTTTTAATGCTCAAATATGGACACCAATAACTTAATAGTGTCAGACTAACACATGATTTCTTCATCGGTAATGGATTCTTGCCAGGGTTGCGAGCTTTATTTGGTTTATATTCAATTCAATATAGCAGCCCAATACCCCTTCTACCAACCCTAAACCGACTAGTTTTCAAGATATTCTTTCGGCAGAATAACTGCAAAACTTGTCCCTTGGATCCCCTCATTCACAAGAAATGACCAACTGAAGGAGAAGACCCTAATCAAGCTAGTGGCGGTATTAGATTGTTTGAGCACTTAAGCCCTCTTACAAGCATCGCAAGGAATGAAGTTAATTTATCAGGGCCCAGAGAAGAGCAATCAGACCCAAATTTCCCCTCCTCCCAGCACAAAATTCGAATAACATACAGGCTGAAAAATCTGAAATCCAATAACTGATAGAATTTGCACAGGAAAAAAAAATCGTTTTATCAAAGGGAGGATCAACTCTTCCGAAAATGCTAAATATTACAATAATGATGCACAAACAGAAAGTAACAAGGCCAAAAAGAATTAAGTTGGTAAGCTCAACCAACCATTGACTAGCACAACCGATTTCCCATGACTCCCTGTTTTTCCACCAGTTTTGTCCTCAAAAATTCAACATTACAGATTGGTAACCTCAAAGATATTGGAAATGCAAATTAGTTGAGCCCCTTTAGATAAGCCTAAGCTCATACTCCCCAGCCATTGTTATGTATCTCACCCATGGGAGAGCCTGGTAGCCACTTTTCTCAATAATTTTCAGGTATCGAACCTACAAAACATCAAGATTTTAATAAAAGATTAAATTACCTAAACTTGCTCAAGATATATTTTCAGAAATTTGAGTATGATCATATAAAATGAACTTTTATCATGATAATAGCTTATAGCAAGTTCCAAAATTCAAGCCATCCAGTGGACCACTCATGTTTGAGAACTAAAACAGATTTCTTTGAAATCGTTGGTGATCTCTACACATAAATTACTAAGATTAAAATTCATTATTCAAATCAAATTATTATACAACAACACACATTATTTCTGCTTTTCAAAAATAAAAAATAAATAGAAAAGCTATTTATTTGTACCATTGGAGTATAATGTGGAGTTCAATTGAAGTCATACTCCACATTAGTAGGGCATCTACATTTTCAATAAGAGAAACAGTGTGTGGATTGCAGATTGTCAGTTATCTATTTGGAAATTAGAAATTAAAAGATACAGATCCTGTATTTCCCCAAGTTAGTGAGACCTGAAGTTGCCACACTCACACTCATGGATTAAGAAATCACCAACTCCAATAATACAAGAATCCATACTTTAGGTACCACAATTCACGATTTGGAGTATTCAACACTAGCACTAATTTGGAAATCCAGGCCCGTTTATCCTCATCCAAATTAAGACAGAAGAAAGCAATTCTGGACTGAACAACTTCATGATAATTGATAAGTTAGACTCAATCAGAGAGAGAATTAAAAATCAAGCCATTTACCACCAGATATCATAAAATATAACAAGCAATTTTGTTTGTGGAAGTGTACCTGTATTCCTGAAACAGTAAAATATGGTATTTCAAACTTCACACGAATAGGAGCTTTTCTCTCAGGAGTGGCTTCTTCAGCAGTTATACTGGGAAGACTGAACTCAGACCTCAACATGTACTCCTGAATTTAAATGCAAATAGAATCAAAACCAGGGCGGCTACTGCTACAAGCAAAGGTTAATAAAGACTACAAAATGGCCCCATTTGTTTTTGGAAGAAGAGAATGTACCTTTCCTCCTGGAAAAGATTTAATTTTCCACAATAATGCATCATTTTCAGGTGCATATGATGCAGACCCCATTGACGTCCGAATATTAGGATTGGAAGCATCAACTGGCACAGGCAACTCAATCTCAACATTTGTTGCAGTGCTGTGCAATTAAACTTTTATGAGGACTCGGGAAACATAAACATTAGCCAACCCAAAATTCTGATAAACAGATTAAATGGAGACAAAGTTACACTATCAATGATAAAACTTCATACCTGCGCTCCTTGAACTGGCTCCTAGCCTTTACCATGATCTCCACACGACTTCTTGAATGCCTTTCAACTTGAGCTTCCACCCAAATCAGGGGCTTTACCTGAAAGAAGGCATAAAATAACTCATCAAGCTCAGAAAAGTAACTAAGGTTGTCTTTTTCTTTTTTAAAAAAGCTTTCAAAAACTACAGAATGAACCTGAGTGCTGAGTCTATATGTCATCAGATCGAAAGCCCCATCAGGTGGTATAAATGATATTGTCCGGTCATTTTCAAATCGAGCCAAACGTACACACCTGAACCAAATTGCATATTTAGTTTTAAAGGTCGAGATTGTAATGAGCAACCTTCACTCATAATAAATAGCCATTTACTTCCACATACAAAAAGTGTACTAACCAACACAAGAATTCAAGTAGACCTGAGAATTAAGCTACATACTGATGAAATTTGATGTCCTCCAAATCAATGGCCTTTCCCTTTGTTGCCCGTCCTTGGGCCTCCAATAATACTCTATCATTAAGGCCAAGCTTACACTCAGGCATGCCGCTGCAACATAACAACAGAAAACTTGTAATTGAACATAAGTTCCCTTTCTAAGACGTTACAAACCCATAGACTTTCGTGCCATCATAATGAATAATAGCTCTGTTTTTAGACAAGCGAGCAATTTCCCCATGCCAACCGTGTTACCAAGCAAGCTAATGGTTGCAATTATGTAACTTGATTCATTGTAAAAAAATGTTGTTGTGTTTTCCGAGAAAGTTTGTTGCAAGGAGCATGAGTTCAATCGACAAAAACAGGAGTCACAAAGTACTAAATTGAAATCTACACTTGGAAACAATTTGAAAATAAAAGTCTATTCATAACATTTCTCTACCACATTATTCAACAAATACTTACTGGCATATTAAACTAAAAGTTCAACAGCAAAACAGCTTACAAAAACTGTGTGGCATATCACAAGAGCAGCATCACTAATTAGTTACCAAAAATTCATCAATGCAAATACCTATACAGAGTAGTACTTAGCAAGTAGCAGCTTCACAAACTAACCTATATGCTAAACAAGCATCTGAATATCCTAACAGTTATCTTCACAAGGCAAGCATGCAAGTACACTGCCTTAAAGACTAACAAGGTCAATCATAAATGAACCAAGAAAAAACTACCAGCAATTATATTTGCAGATAACTGATTGTTTCTAACTGTACCTTAGATACGTTCTCATTTTCAAAGCCCCAACAACATCAGACCTAATGACTTGTCCATTGCTGTTGACAAGTATATTGACACTCTCAACCACATCTAAGAAAACCTGAAGAAATAATAACGAATCTTCAATATCATCCAGTTATTAATCATTTAATTAAGAAAACCAACAAAAAGCTCTGGCGAAAAAAAAGAAGAAGAAAAGAAAATACTTCATTCTTCTTGTAATTTATCCCTTCGCTGCGCCAAGACACTGCATTAGTGACAGCCATGGGAGGCCTCTGGGAAGTTTCCATCCTGTAGGCATCCGTCTTGATAAACTCACTAAGAATTCTTGCTTCGGTATACTGAGGGTAACCAAAGTCCATCATTTCATCAAGTAACTCGTACTGACAAATGCACAAGAAAGCACCACCTCTGTCATTACCTCAATAATATGTTTTGAATGTCGAAAGCCAAATCAAATGAGCAAACAAAATTCAATATAAAAACTTACCACTACCACAAAGTTATCCCTAAGTGATTCCTCTTCTAATTCTTCAAAATAATGCTTAAAAACCTAAAAATGAAAAAAATAAAAAATCAATAATAATTAAGATAGAAATTATTTTTTAACAAATAAGAAACGGCAAGGAATTGATAACAATAAGGGAATTACATCAACAACGCGGTGGAGAAAAGAGAGGAGACTGGCAGCATTACAATTCTGCCTTGATGCGGTCATTAGATAAACATTGCTATGTTGTATGAACATGTAAGAGACTCCATTATCATACACTACTGGATCTTGAGATTGCGGATCTCCCTGCACTCAACCATAACCAGATCCAATTTTTCAAGTCATTAATTAATTAATCAATTGGATTGAATTAGGTGCAAACAAAGGAGAAAGGGACAAGAATGGAAAGAAACCTCCTTTTCGATGAGCTTGGTGAAGAAGCGCTCGGCCTGAACGGCAGAGACATCGCCACGGTAGTCGCGCCACACAAGAACGCGACCCTTTATGTCTAATAGAAACAGTGCGGAGGCTGCCCCAGCCATTACTAGATTAGATCAGATAAGATCCGATGCTGATGCTGCTTAACTGATTGGAAACTGATGATGATCTATGGATGATGGCAATCCAATTGCAGAAAATTTCATTGTAGGAGCAGATGCGTCATTTAGTGGCTAATAACTTGAATCATCGCCAGCTCCTTCTTCTCTATTTAACTTTTTTGGGAACGATTGGCAAGGAATATTGACAGCTGAATGTGTTTTCTCTTTTATGTTTGAATGGAGGTTGAAAATTGAAATGAGCATAATCAAAACGATTTCTGGATTAATACGCAAGTTATATTATTCATCTGATACTCATCCCTGCTTGCTGCTCTACCTAAACGACGCCGCTCCCATATTTAGTTGAAAACCTCTTTTGTTTTCATACACATACATACTCACACACACGATGACGTTTTAGCCATGTCTAGATCTAGACACCACAACAAAACTACTACTGCTATTCAGCACAATATTGTTTGTTTATTGTATGTTTTTGCATCATTAGTAGGGTAGTCAATGGATGAGATATTGACTTGAATTTTTTTTTATGTAATTAAATAAATTTGATATGTAATTTTTACAATTCGAATTCAATTGTGATTTGAATTTTTTAATTCACTTATTAAATTGATCTACTTCGATCCAATCATAATAATTCGATCTCGAATCAGTATTAATATTATTTATAATAAAAATAATATTTAAAGAACATAAAATAAAATCAACATATAAAATATATATATATAAAAAATCTAACACTAGGTTTAGATTTAAAATTTATTTACTTCAAATGCTAAACAACGTCCTATACTTCTGTTTTTGTTGTTTTTTTTTTCCCTTCTACATTGACAACTATTCTTTCAAACGTTTACATTATAAGGTTTTTTCATCATTTTTAAAATATCAAATTAATTTTGTAAAAAATTCTATTAACATAAACAAAAATTAATTTCTAATTTATAACATCTCAATCTAATTTAATTTTTTTTTTTATCAATTTCAAGTTTGTTTTTTGTAAAATGCTAGAATTTTTTTTGTGCAAATCAAGTTGTGCCTAAAATAGTTATCTTTATTATTCTTTCTTTAGTTTTGTTTTATTTATTGCCTAATTTAAGCTAATCTTGATCTTTAATATAAATTTTTATTAGAATTATTTGATTTTATTCTATTCAATGGTGAAACAATTTGAATTTTTTGTTTTAAATTGTTATAGTACATATAGTGATTGAAAGTTATTTTATAATGAAGTATGATTTTAAACATGATTAACTCTTTTTTTAAAAAAAATATTGAATGTTAAATCTAATGAAAATCCGAATCATACCCGAACCTATTAAAATCTAAATCTAAATCAACAATTGAAAAATCTTATTCAAATTTATAATTTCTACTTCAAATTGTTTTCTTAAATCAATTGAATCCAAATATACTATGATCTTATTCCAATCCAACTCGTCGGCAAACATAATAATTATTAATAATGTTATTCTCACATCACCTTTTCTTTTTTGTATCGAAACAATTTTGCCTTTTTTATCAAAACTTAAATAGGTCATCAATATTTAAAACGGTATATTCACAATAGAATAAAGGTATTATGGTGCCACTCGTTATTTATTCAAACTAAATCACTTTCTAATCAGATTTCAAACAGATATCTACGTTAGCAAGTCATTGAATTTGACAAATCTTACCATTATCATATACAAAAAAATAAACTAGTATGGTAGAATTGCTCAATTAAACACTTCAAAAAGAATCCTAATTACATATGTTTTTCCATCATTTTAATTAAACTCTTACAACTAAAATGAAAGACGACATTGCAAAAACACATGCACCTTATTAGGCTTAAAAATTCATACATGTAATTACAATTAATTCATCTTCCATTAAAAATCCCACTAAATATTTGGCTATTCCCTCCTAGTGATGCCTCCCACTCTACTGAGGACATTACGATCTTAGATAATTCTTGAACTACTTCTCGCATCTCTGGTCTATTAATTGCTTCTTCACTCAAACACCATTCAGCAATTTCTGCCATCTGCATCCACACAAACAAGCAAAATCATGTTTAATATGACTCGCAACTTTTTTTTTATTTGTTCACACACACACACACACACAAAACCTTGTAGGCATCCTCCATGGGGTAGCTGCTGCGAAGATTTTTATCTATGACATCTGCTAGAGCAGTCTCTGGATCTTGGCCTTCAAAAATTTTGTAAACCTGAAAATACGTATGAAATAATTAGTTTTTGCTATAGTGATCTAACCGTGCATTATATAATATAAGGTACAGGAAAATATTTAAGTACTATATCAAGAATACTTAATTAACCAATGTACAGTAAAAAAAAGCTTACTACTGTAATTAGTGATTTCATCTTGGTACTCTCCCGGTTGTCACGCATAAGTGCACGTAGGCCTGTTATCAGCTCTGCTAGAACTACTCCAAACGCAAATACATCAGTTTTGGAAGTCACTTGCAGCTCCTTCACAGATCTTTTCAAGAAGCATATAAGAAATTAATCAGAAAAACAGGTCAATTTTTAACTTTCTCAAACTATGAATGCGATACCATATATATACAGCAGAATCAGACTGCTCACTCTGGTGGAAGATAGCCTGGTGTTCCAACCAGTCGTGTTGCTATCAAGTCTTCTTCACTCGTTCGTTCAACAAGCTTTGCCAATCCAAAATCTGCAACCTGTAGAAACCGATGTAGTTGGCTTAATGCATGTAAGTTTTATTTTAGAAGGTCTTGTCGGATCAAACAATGGAAGCTGCTCTAAAAACATTGAGAAAAACTACATTTCATTTGCTGTTCAAAGAATGCTGATAATTAATTAGAGAATGGAGTATGATAATAGTATCAAAGAACTATTAGTACGTAATTCATGTTTCAAGTACCTTTGCTCGTAGTCCCTTGTCGAGTAGAATGTTACTAGTCTTTATATCTCTGTGCACGTAGCGTGCTTTGGTGTGGTCATGAATGTATTCAATTCCCTTTGCAGCATCAAGTGCAATCTGTGTCCTTACTGTCCAAGAGAGTGGCTGGTGACCTGATTCAATACCCAAAATTTCCGCAGCTTTTTGTGAGCTGTTATGTGCTTAAATGTAAAGCCTTGGCAAGCCAAATGCTCAACAATTTTGTAAAATATTCCATCAATATGTAGAAAGTTGAACCCATTTTTTCTAGTGACATGCATGCATCAATCCTATCTTGTGATTTATATATGCATTTTTCAAATAACTAAATGCTTAACTCATTAGTCATTAACACGAGAGAATGTCCTTGTCAAAGGAAAAATAAGGGCAAAAAGGTGTGGATGAACCATGGAGGTCCAAAAGATGTACACGATGTTGTTCGTTATACTAGGCTTGTGATGAAAACCTCCCCGGCCAATTATTTGAAAACAATATTAATCCATCTCGCCATCTTTCAGTTTAACAGTTATTTAATCTTAGGCTACCCTTCAATAAATTTAGCTGCAGAAAAGTCATCTTACTAAACTAAGAGGTGTATGTTCCGCCAATTTGAATACCTTTTGGCAATGGATCATGAAGGTGATCATTGAGTGATCCATTCCGTACATACTCATAAATCAAGTAGAAGTGATCATCCCCACCGGCATAACCCAGTAGTTCCACCTGTTACACGATTTATACTTGGTAAATATAGGCAAATGTTTCTTTGCATTGCCTTGAGATTGACTATTATTGTTAATGATCACTCACCACATTGATGTGATGGATTTTGCATAAGACCTTGAGCTCTGCAAAGAATTCTTGGGATTTGTTTGATCTCATCTTCTTGACTGCAACCTCCTGAATGTTTAAAAAAAAAAAAATTCATATTTTCACACTTTTTCCTCTGGAGACCATTTCGTATGTATGAGCATGGCTTAGGAGAAATCGAGAAAGAAGGCTATACCTGCCCTCGCAATAATCCATAGTACACACTTCCATAACCCCCTCTCCGATTTTCTTCGTTTCGTCAAAGTTTCTTGTAGCCTCTTCAATCTCCTCTAGACCAAATATGACAGGTCTTTCTGATTCAAAAACTGCCCCATCTGCGGAAAGCAAATTCATTCATTACTGCAGATTCTTTCGTCTCAGCTGAAACTATTCTACTCTAGTTATTTCCATGGATAAAACAAATGCTAACTTTTTATGATTTTTCAGATTCTATGAGTTAATCTAACCTTCCGTGTTTCCCTTGTACAGATTCTGCAAGGAAAATGCTTTGTTCGTGCTCATGCTTTTGGATACCGGCTTTAAGTCCTCCTCCCTTTTCAGTTGGCATCTTTTTCGCTTAAATAGGAGAATCAGCAATGTGATAATCGAAAGTGCTGTCAAGGCAGATAGTACGCCGACGATTATTGTCCAAATGTGTCTCCTTCCTAATGCAAAATGGAAAAACGAGACAAGGATATAAAAGTTTTAGATAAGATTTTACTCTGTTTCAGTCAATTTCTGCATTTCATGCAAAATATACGAGTATGCAATTGATTTTCCTTTCCCTCTTAAGTACAAATATTGTGAAACCTGAAATGGGATGATCAAAGCAAATTTCTTGAAATGTTACGATCTAACAAAAAGATGCTGCTCGAAGGTTTGAAACGAAAATGAGATGGAATTGAGTTTGCAAGGGAAAATTGCAATAGCTTAAAGTTCGTTTCTGGCTATATATATTTGATTCATGAGATGCATTAGCTCTGTACACTGTCCACGATCATCAACATCTAGCAGCTATCCAGGTCAACACAAAATTTTCCGTGTTCATAATGTCCTGAAAACTGACATCTAGCTTAAGCACAAATTAAAAACATATAAAGCACTAAAATTCTATATTAATGAAATCGTTAAATTTTTGGAAAGAACTCATATTCACCTTTTCTAGAGGCTGGTTTACCGTCCATGGGAACAAACAACACCCAACCCGCATCTATGTAATTTGGGTTCTTAATCAGAATACCATTCATGTTCTGTATGCCATCCACTGTAGCTGATAGCTTGGTAGAAATATCTGATAATGTGTCATGAAGCTGAACAGTATATGTTACCACAATTTGAGATTTTCTTTTTGCACACGCACACAGAAGATGCATAGGAAAGTCATTTCCGGGAGCAAATGATTTTTCTTCATCTTCAATCCTCCAAGCTTGCCCATTAAAAGTCTGAGATGAAACATTCAAAAATGTTTCGTTTTGATTTACTTTGTAGATTGCATCATAGAAGTATCCTATAGTGCCCCTGATATTTTTGCACGAACATGGTACCTTTACAAGATAGTCTTGTCGGCTTGCATAGGAAACAGAAGTGATCTCAGACGAGTTGACTCCATAAATGGAAGCAAGTTGTTCTTTCTGGACACTGTCGACATTGGTATGGTACAGTGAGGCATTGCAAAATTTGATATCTTCTGAATCAAAGCAAGTAAATGGGTACATATTTGGTGAACTGTTGGAGTCATCAGAGGCAAAAACTCTAGCTAGTAGAGTTGCCAACAAAAGGAGGAGACCAAGAAGGAAATTATGGGAAGTCATAGTTGTAGAGCATAGGGGATATGAGAGGGGAAGAAAATGGAATGAAACGACGGAGCTAGGAATTATAGTTTCCTCTCTTCATCGCTATCTGTTTGTCTATCTTGCATCAAAACCCAAAAGTTAATCGTTTCGGATTGACATTTTTCGAGTGAGCCACCCCTTTGCTTTTAGACTCTCACAAGAAGACTTGAAGTTCTATATCTTGAATATGATATGATTTTTGTAATTTCCAAAGTCTGTCCGATCCAATATAAGATGGTTTTAATTAATCGATGCTTACAACTTAGTGATTAAGATAACTTTGTCTGTTGTTTTACCACCAATAGAGACACCCGTTTTCAATAGGTTGAAGAATCAGGAATGCCAGTTCCTTGCCTGGCTGTTTCAATTAACAGCGGTAAATTGTAGAATATTTTATCACTACCTAAGCTACAATGAGCCATGCTTGGTTTCATCGAAGGAAACTAGCAGCTACACCTGGCTTGATTGCGTAGTGTAGTGTACAGTAATATGCCACTTGGGCTCGTTGCAAGCATAATTCTGTCTAGTTTTTCATTGCCATATGTGGAACTCACAATAGTTGTATTAGGGCATAAAATAAGGCATGCCCCTTTCAGCATTAGCTGTAGATATGGGACTGGGAGGATCTTTGTTGATTTTCCCGTCTGCGCAGTGCTTCTTGCGACTGTCTCTTTGGAACAGAATATTTTCTTGAGCAAGGGAGTGTTCCTGGTGGTTTTGTGCCTAATTTAACTTTTCAGGGTCTGTTTATCCTCTTTTTTTATTTTTATTTTTTTCAAAGGTTAATTGCTGTGAGAATTGGACGCGGAACACAATACAGCTATAAATTTACTTGACTTTGTTATGAAAAGAAAATATATATTTAAGATTTAATAAGCTCCCGCTAGCTATTGGGAGGTGTTGCTTCTGCGTTCCTTTTGTTTCTTTCATCTTTAGTCTCCCTGACTGCAACAACACCCCCCCCCCCCTTTTTTTTTTCGTTTAAATGGCAAGTATTAAAGAAAACAATAAGAGCCGAAGAAGACAATGTAGTTTAATTCTGTCTCATAATATAATGATTCTGTGGTACTGATGCAGCTTGCAAAGCCCCTTTAAGGGTTCAACATGAAGGGGGTTACAGTTGTCCAATTTTGCATTCCAATACCATGCACGTCTTCTGTTAATGATCTGTCTTTTTGTTAGTGTTTGACAGACATTTTTTTATATAATTTTTTTTGGAGAGGCCGGCCAAGATTACCTAACTATGAAGCGAGAAGTCAGACGCGAAGTTACTTCAGGATTGAAGCTGTCTATTATTACCGTTGATCTGTATTTTTTTACAATATATTGAGGCTATGTTGGATCTTTCTCTGAAGCATATATTGAAAGCTCCAAAATGCCATTTTCATGCTACTCTTTGTTTCCAAAGAGCTCAGAAAAAAGCTGGGAATGCAAGGAAAACATTGGTTTTCCCCGATCCCAAACGAGTACAATAGTTGAACAGAAAACCGAAATAGGACTTGAGAGTTATTATTATTAAGCTTAACCAGGCTTTCTCAAAGCTGAGTTTCGAGTCCCTCTTGCTTTTAGTATACTAGCCCACTAATCCAAAGGCTTTGACTCCTCTCGACTATGATGTTAAGAATAAGAAGTCTAGCAAGTGATTGTCTCACCTTGCAACCTCGAGATTATTATTTTTATTATTATTATTATTATTATTCCTTTTTTGAGAAGTGCAGCCTCGGGAAATTGGTGCTTGGTCGACAGATTTTAAAATTTCAAATATGCTATTTCAAATATCTGAAACGAAAGGGGGAGTCTTCTATGACTTTTGGCTGCAGAAGGGTTTGTGAAATTTCTTTAGGTTTTTCTCTTACACGTGATTTAGTTATTGTTTTGAATTCAATTCATTGGCAAAACTTCTATATAGGAAACACCGTAGAACTAGGGTGAAAGAACATGATATAGGAGTTTTGATTTTTGATTTTTTTTTTTTAACTGAAGTTTTGAATGAAAAGGTCATGTAGCAAGTATGACATTTGGTTGTGGATCCTCACAACTCTATCTAAGCATATTACTTTGGATCCTATACAGGTCAATTAAAGCAATTTACAAAGTATGCCAAAAGAGAAACTAGATATAGGGATAAGGTAACTTCGAACATGGATTGTGGTTGTCTGCGGTGACTGGTGAGGATCATGTATCCGCAGGGCACTGAATAAAAAATTCTGAACTCTATATGTACTTCAAGAAGGCACTAATGATCACATCATCAGATCATATCCAAGTTCATTCATAACTCTCTCCACTTTAGTTAGCATATCTGGCAACGACAAAAGGAAAAATGTAACAAATAACCAAAGTAGTTTACGAATTTCCCTAAAGAAATAGTGTTTACTCAGGATGCAGATATCACTAGTTCTCTAATATGGCTTCTTTGCAAGTTAATAAAAATTCTAAATTATTTGGTAGAGGAAATTCAGTTTCCTAAGCTTACAGCAATTCGCGAGCTCCAAACCTAATGAAAAAATGGGATAAAGGTAGCATACTGTAATAAACTAGCTTAGGATGCCAATAAACTTAAGTGGAGAGCAAAATCTATTGTCAGAGCAAGCCCCCTTTAGCATGCTGCAATAATAAGAATAGAAGTAGACCTTGGAAACTGGGAGCTAATAGAGGAAAGGATGTGAGTAAATTGAGAATTAGCTTACCTTGGAAGGAAGAATCCCCCATGTATTTCTGCAAGGAAACAAAATTATTATCATAATCACTGTGTTGTATCGTACAAACAGGAAGTACAGGAATAGCAAACTCAACTTAAGCACAGGAAACCATTATTATTGTAATCATTTGGAAGTGTCAAAAATGCTTAATCCAATCCAATTCACGATAAGCTCCAAAGCACAACTATATATTTCTAGTAACTAGGCATTCATGAAGATGAAACCAAAAGGTAAGAGAGAACTACCATAATTTGGGATTTGAGATCAATTTCATGAGATAAACTTGGCTGGCCTGCAGAGATCATTTCAGGTAAGGGAAAAAACATCATTAAATGGATTAGTGAATGAGAATCCTCAAATCACATCAGAGATAACCTATCTACCTTGTTTGACCTCAGAGCAGCAGTCCAGCAGTAATGAGGTAAAGCTGGGAGGCATGGCTGGAGAAATTCCATCATGGTTCTGAGTAAGTGCTTTTTCCTCAGTAAATGATGCTTGTTCAGCTTCATCGTTCAAACTCAATTGAAGTTGAGGAGAATAAGTATCAACAGGACTCATAGTACTCGATTGCTCCACGCAAGCTCTGCAGACATCATGTCATTGAAGTTTATAAATCTACAGCCGAGTTGATCAATCAAGTTATTAAATGGCACACCTAGGTTGGCATCCATTAGTAGGCATGAACACGGATTGTGATGATATCGCGGATAGTAACTCGCTATCCAGAGGTTCAGTTTCAATTGGATCCTCCAAGATAACCTGAAAACACAACCAAAAAACAAAAATCAGCATTTCAAGGAGGAAATGGTCATGAGCTTCATGAGTTATTAACAACAATGGTTTCAAATATCTTAACCACCTTCAAAGCATTTATAAACACCTCTGCTTCAGAAATATTTGAAAATCGAAAACCGAACTTCTGGATCTGCGAGCATGTGAGATTTAAGCTAAATTTTGACTTTAATTTCTAAAATACAGAGGAATATTTATGAAAAAAAAAATTCAAAATAATGTTACCTACCTCGCCAAGAGAATCCTCGTAGGTCACGAAGACGGCTCTGGTGCCCCTTGCAGGATATCCGGAAACGCACGACACCTGAGGCCATGAGAAATGCAGCTTCCAAGCATAGTGCTCTTCCTGCACCACCAAATTTAATTTATATAAAAAAAATCTGAAAAATAATAGCGATTAAATCACTTTCAATCAATCGGATCAGAAATACGCTTCTAAATAGATAATTAAAGAGCAGATTCTACTGACAAGGACTGTGCCGTTTAAAGAGAGTGTGAGGATGGCGTCTTTGGAGTTGGAATGATAGTTGAGGAGCTGGAGAGAGGCGCTGGCAGAGACGGAGGAGATCCAGGTGCCTCGGGAAGGGCGGGACCTCCGATTGTGAGGCCGAGGAACGAGTGACGGACACGTCGACGGAAGAGATGGATAGTTGATGAATCGAGAGAAAGTCACCTGCCATTGGTCTGTACGAATGGCGGGGGACACTCTTTGCTCTTCATCAACCTCATGACCTATTATTGCTAGAGAAGATCCTGCCTCCATGTTTTTCAATTTTGTTTGTTCTCTCTTTTTGCTCTTCACTCTTTCCATTTTCAAAATTGCGGAGGGAAATTAGAGATTATGGTTTGTTTCGTTTTATTTTTTTAAGATCAATTACCTATTTATACACTGCTAGTTCATGGAAAAAATTTAAAATAATCATGAATAACTGGTGCAAGGGTATAATAGTTAATCTATGTGTCTATTTTTTAAAATAGAGATAGATACATAAAAAAATAATTACATCAGACTTATCAAAATTGATAAAAAAAAATTTCTATATAGACTGAATTTTTTTTCCTCTCATCTTTGTGTCTATTTCTCACTTATTGAATAACTTAAACTAATTATTTCATTACACTAATTACTTCATAAGTAATATAAAATTTACCTTAATCATATCAAACTTATCAAAAATGATAAAAAAAATTCTTACCTAGACTCAATTTTTTTTCTTCTCGTCTTTATGCCTATTTCTCTCTTATGCGGTAACTTACACTAATTACTTCATAAGTAATATGAAATTTACCTTAATTTATGAGTTTGTAAGACCTCAAATAAATAATAGAATTAATAGTTCAGGAGGTCCTCTTACTTATTTTATTTATCTTAATTGTGTTCTTTTATTAATTTTTTTTTATGTCATCTCTCAACATTTACTTTGCATCTTAATTTCTTCCTTTCGATCAAATTTTCAAGTAAAAATGTGAAGAGATACACGAAATATTGACATGCGGTAATATTTTTTTTTATGTTTGATTTTTGAAATTAAATAAATAATTTGTTGAAATAAAAAAAAACTCAAAATGCCCCATATAAAACTCCAAATCTCCAATTCAATTTCAATTCTTTCGTAACCTAATGATGTAACGACCATTCTCTCTCTAAAAATCCAACCCGAATCAAATATCAAAACCTATCAAGAACCAATTCTTGACCCACATAGAAGTTAATCTACTCCATTACATGGCGATTTCTAGCCAAAAAATGGATAATACAAAATGGATTGTATTTGGATTGGCGAGTGTCAAAGAGTCGCTCTTGACGGATTCAACCTTGCTTGCCATTTTTCTTCATCATTGGGGGTTAAGGAAAGTGCCGGAGATGTTTGATGAGTGGCTTGTGACTCGATTTCAAAGCTAGGTGTGCCTAGAGGACCTCGATATTTAGAGAGAGGAGCCGACGTGTTCGAAGTTCTCATTGGTTCGGAGGTCGAAGAACTAATAGAAAGTGGCAAACAGTGGTTGTTAGAGTGTTTGAAATATGGTTATGGTGTATTTTTTTCTCGATGAATATGGTCGAAGAAGATGGCTATAGGTAATGGATGCTAGTAGGGTTGTTGAAAATAGGTTAAGCTCTTTTCTTACTCTATTCGGGTAAAAGATAGAGGAATTCAAGAAATTTTATAATACACAAGAAGTAACTAGTGGTATATATAGTAGTTACTCATTGGATTCACTTTAAGAAAAGAGATAGACAAAATAAAAAATAAAAATAAAAACAAGAGAGAGAAAATTAAAAAAATTGAGCAAACGTGAAAATCTTTTTATCACTTTTGGTGGATCCGGATGTAATTTAATATGTCTATCTCTTTCCTCAAAGTGGGTCAAAGGAGTAACTACCGTACATGTCATTACTCATTATGTATTATAAAATTTTTTCGAGGAATTCGGCTTGGGCATTGGTTTAGTATTTTTTTTTTTTTGGCTGAATGACCCTCGACAACAATTAGAAACGGTAACAATAGTGGCTAATGGTGAAGGAGAGAAGACGACGTGGGGGTTTGGGGGGTTGGCGACGACGATGTGGGGGAAATAATGGTTTGGGCTAATAGGTTGAAGATTTGAATTGGTGGGTTGAGGATTCATGTAATACTTGGGACTTTGAACATTCTTATGTATTTGTATGTTTATTTATTAAATATATGCATGTTATACTTTGTATTTATATTGATGAATGCTTGGCTTTGTAAGTTCATGTTGTCAAGTATTGTGGATGTGTAAGTAAAAAGACATGTTGTGGTGTTGACGATGTTGTCGCGAACAAGTCGAGTTTGTCAAAATATATGTGTTGTGTGTGTGTTTCCTAAGTTTAATCATTTTGGTTTGTAAACTTATGTTACATTTAATCAATTTTTTTTATGTTAATGTATATACATGTTGTGACGTTATAAAGTGGTTTTTTTGTTATTGATGGTGGTAGTTTTGTGAGAGAGATGAGTGGAAATAGATTTTCTTCTTCTTTTTCTCTTTAAGTTTCTCTCTCGTAAAAGATAAATGACCTCCCTCTAAGGTTTTTTTGAGAGAATGAATAGTGGCTACCCTTTGAGAAGAAGAGAAAATGAGGTTTTTATAATAGGGTTTTTTAGGATTATGGATAAAATTTGGCTTAGTCCTCCATTCTTTTGCTTTTTTCAATTTTGGTCATCGTCTCATTATTTTCTCGTCAATTGTGCCCCTAATGAAATTATTTAGTCCATTTTCTTTTTAATTTATTTTAATTCCACCCTAATTCTTTCTCAATTAAGGCCTTTTATATTTTATTCTCTTTCAATTATAGCCATAACTCGATGTTATTTGGCTATCACCTCTTACATCTTTTTCAATTAAACATCAAATAATCTTTTCAAACTATTCTCTTTTTCTCTTTCTTTTTATTTTATTTTATTTTATTTTATTTTGTTTATCAATTAAAATTAAGGGATAATCTTAAAAAATTAAAATCTTAAAAATTTATAAAAATAGCTAAAAATCATGAAAATATCAAGCAACTATGCAATATGCAATTTTTAAAATTTTTTTAATTTTGTACAAAAATAAAAATTTATGGGTAAAAAATATTTTATGATGATTGTTATTTTATTTTTAATTAGAGGTTGAGGGTGATAGGCATATTATATAGTATCATAATTTTATTTTTCTTATAAAAACTCTCGAGGAACCATTAGTCAATGATGATACTAGTAATATGCTAGCTTTTATTATTATTATTATTATTATTATTATTATTATGTAGTTAAAATAAGCCGATATAAATTAGTAAGTCAAGGACCTTGTAAAGGTTAATTGAATATTTTAATTGATGTGTGGTCTTTACATCTTTCATTTGCGTATGTTTTATACGTGATGTAATTAGTTGATCATATGATGTCAATTGAGGTTAGTCTAAATGGATAGATGTAGGACTTGAGACCAACTTTGTTTCAATCATGGAGCTTTTTTTATTGTTATTATTTTATTTTATTTTACCAGTACCATTAATTTTGTTTTCTTGTAGATTTAACTCTAAATTTGATGTTGGACATTAGGTCTAATTTCTTTATTTTTTAGATTTAACTCTAAAAAACCCTTTCAACCTTTGCTGCTACCATCATCCATAATTGTTGCAGAATTTCAAGTGTATAAAATACAAGAAACGTAAGAAGAAGAGAGAGGGAGGCAGGTGGCATAAATGAATTTTAAGTTTAGAAAAATACACACTGGACTTTTCTTTAAACCGAAAAGACTAATATTTTGGGTCATGTTATATAATTGGGTATCTGGGACCATAATAAAAAATCAACTTATATCATTCTTATTAGGCCTGCTCTTTTTTATTTAAGTAATAATTGGGTTTAGTTTTAGAATTATATTTTTTTACCTTTTTTTCACTTTGTATAATTTAAAAAATTTAGTAATGTTTTTACTTTTTTGTACTGCATAAAAAAATAATATTATAAGTCAATTTTCCTCCAAGTCTAACAACCAATAACTAAAGTATAATTTTATTACAACAATTTTTGAATAATAATTTAAAAATTGGGCAATTATTATTGAATTATAATGATGCATATACATAACTAAAAATAATATTGTTATTTTGTTTATTTAATAAAAATATCAAATTGATATTTATTATGAAAATTTATCATGGTTACTAAATAATTCACAACAACCATAGCCATGATCATTTATATTTTAATCATTAAATTTTGTATCTGTTATCGTAATCCATAATTATTATTGCAACTATGATCGTTATTTAAAATTATGTTCATTATCTACTTAACGGATAACAATTATAGTTGTTAATCGGATAGAGCAACCCTTCCATGTGGAACTTCCACATTTCTTCTCCAATCATCCTCAACTTCCTGTTCATCATAGGTATCTATGCTCATCTTTGCATCTTCAAGCTCTTCTTCCTCTAAACCCTTCTGCTGTTGAGCACAATGTTCACCGCATGGCTCACTTCTTGCTGCTACTTGATTGTTTCATGTGTTTCTTCACTCGGCTTTTTGTTCCTGATCTCCACACGGGGTGCCAAATGTTATAACGTAGTGATGAGCTGGGATTGAGTACGATAGATAGGCCGTGTCTCGGACTAGGCCTACACGAAAAAGTAAGGCCAGATCAGGATTAGAGTTCGATAGACCACTCCAGCAAACAAATCAGTCATTTTAGTGGTAATAAAATACTTATATGATTGAAAATTGGATCGTACCTTTGTACCTCTGTATCTTTTGTCTTTATTTGGATTCCAAACATGGCATCGTATCGTTCTTATCCTTTAAGGTATTATTGATGTTATATTATATTTTAGAATGTATGATATATCAGTATTAAAAATAGTTAAATAGTAATGTGGTCATCCTCCGTTTAGGGATAACTTTTTTTTCTTTCTTTCAAAAATTCTTTTTTTCCCTATCAAATCCCCATCTTATATATTTATATTTTCTTCATTATATTTTCCAAACATAAAAAACCAAAATTAATTGGGAAATAACATTAACGGATGAAAGGACTTAAGTTTTAAACGAATTTTAAAATATATAATATCTAAAACTATGAGGACTAATAATTAATTTTATTAAACTAAAGGGACTGAGTTATAATTAACTAGCATATCTTGATATTTATAATATGGATCTGAAATTATTCAAAATGATAAGTATTTAATGGATATATAAGGAGAAAAATAATTTTACAAACATGGAATTTTTCATAACAAAAAATAATACTGATAAATTAATAATTAAGTAACCATGACTTGAAGTTAACGCAGCGGTCACCCAATTGTTGCCTTTGGCAACTAAATTAACGGCGGTCCTCGTTCGCGTCCGCTTTATACACTCACAAAACGTTAATTTTAAGTCAACTAACACATTGCTCTCCTACTGACTCCTCCATATTTTAATAATAGTAATTTGTCCATTGGAAAAAAAAAAAAAGCACGAAGACCTCGGGCAGAATCAGCACCCCACACATCAAAGAAAATATAAAACTGCATGCAATAAACTACTCCATTAAATTAGAAACAGAGAAGACAAACAGACAGTTTGAATTGTTGGACTCGAAGTCGGAAAGGATTTAGAAGGTCTATGCTTAATTAGCCGACCACGCATCGGCATTCACACGGTTTGCTTTCCCAAAGACCGAGCAGCTGTGCTGGGGCGCGCCAGAGCGATTCGGGTTGGATTTGGCTCGAAGGAACTAGAAATACGATAGTTATTAATATCAATATAGACGTGAAACACTTTCATTTCTTTATTGAAATCAATGCTCAGACGAATTGAATTATACGTGAATCCTTACATTCATGGGGACAAAAAGATATTTTACAATCCGAATAATTTTCAATGGACGGAGTAGCTAGGGGATGAAAATGAAAATTCAAAGCCAACTAATTGCACACTTTGTATTTTAAAATAAGTCCTCCAAATCACTATAATTTGATAATTTTAGATTTTTTTTACGAATAATTTAGATTAATTTAATTTTAATTTATATTTTTTTAATAAATATAATCCTTAACTATTATCTTTAATGGTAAAAAAAATTGATCGTCGATCAATTCTTTAACCGTTAATATTTTAATTTTTTTTATATTTAACTTAGTTAAAACATGATTTATTATAGTGATTATTTGTTAGATTTCAAAATTAATAACATTCATCAAAATAAATTTAAAAGTATAAATAATCAAATAGAAAAAATAAAAATACATGTATTTAAATAAAAAAATAAAAAAAGTTATTTTTTTCTAATCAAGTATTTCTATTTAATTCATACGAATATAATCGTTAAGTTGACTAGATTAAAAATAAAATAAAATATTTAAATCTAGCATTAACTAGATTGTTGTTAACATAATTTTTTAATTTTTTTCTAATTAAGTATTTTTATTAAATTCATGTTAATTTAATCATTAAATTGACTAAATTAGAAATAAAATAAAATATTTAAATCTATTATTAACTAGATTGTTATTAATATAAAATTTTAATTTTTTAATCAAATATTTTTATTAAATTTATGCAGATATAACTAGTAAATTGATACATTAACATGCCGATATGTCCACCACATGAGTATGCATATTTTATTTAATTATTATTTGATGATTTATACTTTTATTTTTTATTTAAATATATATAATTTTATTTTTATTTTATTATTTATACTTTCAGTTTTTTTATGAATGTTATTAATTTTGAAATCTAACAAATAGCTACTATAAAATTTATGTAAATTATATTTTGACTAAATTAATTATTTTAAAAAATTGAAATATTAATGATCAAAAGGTTCATTGTTTATAGTCTTGATTATTAGAGATAATGAATAAAGATTATATATATCAAAAAATTAATAGTTTAAAGTTTAATTAAGGGTATTATTAAATTCATGATATTGTTATTTTTATTATTTTTTTTAGATAATTACTAATACATGTTTTGTCGCTACCCGACGCTCGGACGGGACTCCCATAAAAAAATCCGAATGATATCACTAGTTTCAAATCTTTATTTTATTTATAAGACTATTTGCGAGTTTGGAGTCGCCACCTAGTATTGAAGGAACTAGGAACCTAAAATTGGCACTCGGTTCGTAGATTCTATGGTAAGGAGTCGATTACGCTTATGGGAAGATAATTAATCACCCAAAAGTGCCCTTTACTAAGAAAGGTACCACATCTAGCTTAGTCCTAAATTATCTCCAAAAATATTTTATTTTTGTCCAAATTATTTTTTCAATTTTTGAGACTCCAATTTTTCAAGTCAAATTAAGTTTTTTATTTTGGAGCGTGGCATCGTATTGAAACGATCGTCGGACCCCTTCCGTCGGGAGACACGTCGGCTCAAACATCGGATCCACTTTTTAGTCTCGACACAACCGGTATGCCGGAGAACACTTGTTTATTAGAAAAACTTTTTTTTTTTTTACTAACAACGATTCCTATCGGATAGGAGACTTTGTTAAAAAGTTTTATAATTTTTTTTTTTTGTTGTTATTATTTCTTTATATATATATATATATATTATTATTATTTTATTAATTTTTCTTGCATAAATACTATTTTTTTATTTTTATTTTTATTTTTATCGTTATTATTTTATTTATTATTATTTTATTTTATTTATTATTTTATTTATTATTTTATTTTTATTTTTTTAGTAAAAGATTGTCATTAGTCCCTAAAAATTTAGGAGACTTGACGATCTTCTACTTATTACTTACCGAGCCTATTTCTAAACGAATAAATTAAAGCTACACGAATAAAATAAAATAAAATAAAATAAAAATCAAATACCGACATTTAAATTAATAATAGGTATGCATAAAATAAATTCAAAGGTAAATTCAAACAATTACAAAATATTAAAATGACAAATTCTAACTAACATACATAAATACTATTTATTTTATTTTATTTTTATTTTTTTTATTTTTTTTGAAAGATTGTCATCGGTCCCTAAAAATTTAGGAGACTCGACGATCTTCTACTTATTACTTACCGAACCTAATTACTAAACAAATAAATTAAAGCTACATGAATTAAATAAAAGAAATCAAATACCGAAATTTAAATTAGTAACGAGCATGCATAAAATAAATTTCGGATTAAAAATTACATTAATTAAAATAATAAAAAATAATTCAATAGCCAATTTTAATACGAAATAACAAAATCCCTATAAAAAAAATTCACTTTTTTTTTTTTTTTTTTTTGGGTTTAATGTCCGACCGAATTTCTCTTCTTTTTTTTATTTGCGGACTGGATCGAAATTTTAGTCCAACCCATTAACCCGTGGGTTGGGCCAGCCTAACCCACACCATTTAAAACAAAAAAAACCCAAAAACCAAACCCAAAACCCATTTCAAGCATAACTTAAGATCAAAAGCCCCCCTCCTTTTTTTTTTTTCAATTTCCCTTTTCTCCTCTCTCTTTCCCGTTTCTCTTTCTTCTTCTTCTTCTTCTTCTTCTTCTTCCTACCCGATCGCCATGGACGAACCGGGTTCGTCCCTATTTTTTTCGTTTTCTTTCTTTTTCTTCTCTTCCTCCTTTCCCGCACCCTCTCTTCTTTCTTTTCCTTCCCTTTCTCCTTTCTCTCCCTTTCCCGTCTCTCTTTTTTTTTTGTAACACGTTGCTGTCGCCATGGACGAACCAGTGGAGGTTCGTCCATGGCAGCTTGATTTTCCCTTTTCTTTCTTTCTTCTCCCTTTCTTTCCTTCTTTTCCTTGCTCAAAAAAAAAAAACCCCCAAATCAATTTCACAAAATTCTCCCCAATTCTTACCGAAACCTAATTTTTCAATTCTTCAAATTTTCATGCGATTGGCCTTGATTGGATTAATTTCTCTTTAAATCGAACCCAAACCCACTTATTAGGAACCCATTTCTTGAAAACCCCCAATTTTATTGGTTTGAAAGCTCAAGAACCCTAAATTTTTTTTTATCTTAAATCGAGTCTCCAATTGAGACTTAAACCCTAAATTGAAACCTCGCACAACTTTAATTAGCCATCCTTTCAATTCCTTAACCTCAATTTCAAACCAATCAACAAAAACCCCAAATTCGAAACTCAAATTGTCAAGAACCCCGAAATTCTCAAAAATCCAATTCAATTCTCAAATTCAAACCCAAAAGCATTTGGGTTTGAATTCAATTCATCTTCCGATTGAGTGAAAAAGCAAAACATATATAAGTCCGATTGAGGGGGAATTCGGGGATGGCGGTGATGAACATCACCGCCATCAATTCTACGAAAAAATAAATTTACATTGAGGTGAATTAGGGGTGGTTTACCTAGAGGAGAATACGGATTGAAGATGAAGAAAAACCTCTCGGGTCACTCGTTGCTCTAGCAAAAATTGGGGTAAAATTCTCTTTCCTTTTCTGTTTCTTCTTTTTTTTTTTTTTTCAGTTTCGGTTTTCCTTCTTTTTAGTTTGATTTCTTTCCAATCTTTTGAACTGATTTTCGAATTGAAAAAAGAAACCCCCTCCCTCGTTTGTGCTTCTTGCTATTTATATATATACCGTTTCTTTTGAATGCTTGGTTGGTTCCCCCACTATGATGGTGGGGGATTTTCTGCGAGTTTTTTGGAGTGGGCATCTCCGACCATTTTTTGGTTGTGGGGGATGGCTATGGTAGGGTTGGTAAGGGGAAGGTAGTGCGATTGCTTGCAATTTGCAGCATGATGAGGTTACAGGAATCGGGGGATTGCCTCGGAGATTGCTAGATATGGGGAAGTTGTCCGGAGGGACCGTGGGAGTTGCAGCAGAAACGAGTGAGGTCGGCGAGTGGGGGTGCTTGCTATTGTCGACCGGGTGATGAGGAAGAAATGACAGCTGCAGATTGAGGGAATTATTTTTTTCTAGGATTGGAAATCAAGACCGAAATTGAGCACGTAAATCGGTTCCCGCAACCGAAACTAAAAATGAATCCGTGAAGCAAGAGAAAAATAATCCTGAAATTAATTCAGGCGGGAGGGGTGCAAACTTTGTATTTTCCGATTTTTTGTAATTTTTATTTTTTTTATTTTTTTGTTTTGTTTTTGCATTTTGGTCACTCGTAAATTGTTATTAGGTCAATTTGGTCCTTGTCCAATGTAATCTGGCTCTTGAATTTTTAAACGATTCGATTGTATCCTCAATTATTGTAATACTTTTGAATTTATTACAATTGCATCCCCGAATATTAAATTCACCTTGTTTTTTTTTTTGTATTTTTGTATATATATATATTTTTTGGCATTTTGCACATTATTAAGAAAAATGGAATAAATAAAAATAATAACATTGATTAAGATAAGAAAAATAAATAGTAAATAAAAAAACTTAAAATAAAAGAAAACAAATAATCAATTAAAAATAAAGAATTCTGAAATTTTGGTTATGACATGTTTCATTAATTACGAATAACTATTATATAGCAAATCTTATTAAAAGCAATGGCGGATGCAAGATCAAATGTTCATGGGGGCCAAAATAAATATTTATAAATTTATCATGCTTTACCCAAATTTATATATATAACATACCAACATGTATTTTAAAATAATCTCAAAATACAATCACTCAAAATAGAGATATTTCTTTCAAGTCATGAAAATTATTGATAAATGAATTTATACTCAAATTTTCAGCAATTTCTTTTTAATATACACTAATAAACAATTGGAAAGAAAGTCATTTTCTATCTTGTTACAAAGCTTAATCTTAACTATACTCGTAGCTGAAAATGACTGCTTTGTGGTAGTGGTAGAAACCGAAAGAGTAACAATAAATGTTATCACTCTATACACAAGTGGATAACTTTTAATTTTTTTTTTTTTATCTTCATCGACCTTTGACATAAATCATATATAGTAATAATAGTAATCTTGAGTAAATTATAAGTTAGTCTATCTATTTTTTTTTTTAAATGGATCAATTAGTTCTTCTTATTCCAAAAACAAATTATTTAGTTCTTGTATTTTAAATTTTCTTGTAATTTAATATTTAAGTACTATATATATATATATAAAGAGTTAATGAAAAAAAAAACATTTCTTGAAACAAAATAATGCAAATTAAATATGATCACTTGTCAAAAAACTAAATAATTTTTTAAAAATATATGGACTATTTTATAACTTACTATAGTAATCTTAAATCGAAATTATTAAATCGTTATATCTTAAAGTAATAATAATAATAATAATAATATTATTATTATTATTATTATATAGAAGAGTTAATGAAAAAAATAATATTTTTTGAAATAAAATAATATAAATTAAATATGATCATCGGTCAAAAAAATAATTACTTTTTGAAAAATAGAAAGATTATTTTATAATTTACTATAGTAATCTTAAATCAAAATTATTAAATTTTTATATCTTAAAACAAAAATCTAAATAAAAACCCAAAATCAACTGGTTATACAATAATAAGACTGGTCTAAAATAGGAGCGCAATACGCTGGGAGGCAAAAAACTTCACCTGACCCAGTACCACCTTGTGCAAAATGTAACATTTTTCACGTAGCTACACAGAGGAGGGCAAAAATTGGAGGGGGGCCCTGTACACTTGAACGTGGGTCCACCCATGGGTAAAAGGTTGTATTAATTAACCCAAAAAGTTTGAAATTACCAAATTGTAGAAGTTTGTGGCAATTTTTGCCATGAAATCGAGCGCTTCTCTATTTTTTTTGGGTAAAGTTGTTTGTATATTTTAAACCACCCGCTCTTTGTAATTTCTGTTCAGTTTATCATTTCGTTCCGCAGGAAGGGATTAAAAAAAAAAAAAGACCACGATGAAATCTCTACTGAAATCACAACCTTCTCTCCCAATTCACATTCCCGAACATCGAACCAATCTCACCCGTCCAAAACTCCCCTCTCTGAGATTCGATCGTAACCGTTGGATTGGACGGAGAAAGTGTCGTTTGACTTTGACCGCTGTACTGGACTCTGGAACAATTGATCAATTAGGGATTCCGGAATCCGAAATCGTAAATCCAGCTGTTGCTACTTCTTATCGGAGCTTCAAGTTGCCGAAACCCAATCAGACGGTGCTTGATGCTCAAGCTAGGGTTTGCACTGGTCCCACCCAGACCAAGCCCCTCAGCGACGACCAGGCTTTTAAAGTTTTCGATACCATTTTAAGATCCGGTGAGCTCATAATATTCTCTCCACTCTCTCTGTTTCTTTTTTTTTTTTTTTTTTTGCAATTATTATATATAATTGTATTCAGTTCAATCTGATTTTGTTATTATTCTTTTTAAGATTGTGTATTTTGATAGACTGAATTTTGTGTTAGCTAGAGGGAAATTAAAAGATGAAGAACAAGTTTCGAAAGCGCAACTTGGGGCATTTTTTGCTGCCATGACAATTCGTGCGAATAGCTTTCCAGAAGCAACCCAATGGAGTGAAGGTGAGAAGCGTGCAATGAGTGATTTTTGGCCCCACCTAGTTCGAGCACTACCGCTGGATGTAATCTTCATTGCCGATCCTGAAGGCTCGATAATGGGAGCTGGAAGTTCGATTGGGCCCCAATTTGTTGGGAATAGTACGAGTGATATGAGATTGGTTGGTGCCCTTAGGGAGGTTTTGGCAGGTGGTCACCTTGGATATGAGGAAGTTCAAGGTGTTTTAAGAGATGTTCTTCCTTTGAAACTTGAAGATGACAAGTTTTCCGCTGGAGTTAGTGAGACCTTGCTTTCGGCATTTTTGATTGGCCAGCGTATGAACAGAGAAACTGATCGGGAGTTGAAAGCGTATTGCCTTGCATTTGATGATCAATTTGGTATGTTTTGATTCATTCATTAGTTATTTCATGGTGCTGGATTTTAAGTGATAAATAGTTTGGATTAGCCTATGTAGCTTTTTCTTGTGTAATGCAATTTTCAGTTGCGCATTAGGTCCTGCACCAGTGGCTGATGTTAGATCATTAACTCATTATGGCGAACCTTATGATGGAAACACTCGATACTTTAGGAGCACCCTGTTTGTTGCTGCGGTTAGATCCTGTTATGGTGAATCTTCCTTGCTTCATGGTGTGGAGTGGATGCCACCTAAGGTCAGCCTTCTGCTTATTAACTGTCGCAGTCTGTGTGGTAATCAATATTTATCTGGGCCCTGATTTTAAGGAGCTTTTGATAACCACCTGTGAATCTATGCTTCCAATCGTAAGTGCTTTTGGAAGAAACACTGACAAAAGGAATCGTTCTTAATTTTCCTGACTTTGGCATGTTCATTACCTGTAGTGGAAATTACTTAAATGAAACTTGGAACCTTTTTTTTTTGGATGCTGAAACACCGATGGTAGTACTATCTGCTTTCACAAGCTGCGTAACTCTCAGCATCCCTTTTTTTATTATTTGATTGGTCTAGTATTGTCTTTAGGGAGGCATAACAGAAGAACAGATGCTGAAGTTTATGGGAGCAAATACAAGATTGACTCCTTTGCAGGCTAAAGAACTTCTTGAGGTCTTTGTCACATTCTAATTACACAGTGCCACTTTACATCTCTCCTAGCAGTGTTCAAATTTTTTTTGACTGTCATTTCAGGATGAGGAGCTTGGTTTTGCCTACGTAAGTCAACGTGAAGCTTGCCCATCCCTGTATGCAATCTAACCATGTACATCTATTTCAAAACTTTATGTCCCTTCTTCTTTGCATGGATAGATATCTCCATCATGCCCTTTTTCTACTGTCTATAAATTGTTTGTATTCCAATTTTCAGATATTCATTGATCGGGTTGAGGGAGCACATAAAGAAACGTCCGCCTTTGGCGACAACTGAAAAGGTTCAACAATTTTTGAAGGTGAAGCATTTTGTATCACTTTATTGATAAGTATTTTGTTTATCCGTACATCCAGATGGTCCTTGTTTCGTCTCTAAGAACACTTTGTCAAGCAAGAAACTAAGTAGCACTTATGTGAATAAATTCCAGTCTGCGATACCCTTGAAACATACAACAAGTTAACATTTGATATTGTTGTGCTCTTGTTCTTTTTTTGTTGTATAGGTGGGCATTTTAATTTCTAGAGAAATTAATATGCTGATAATACTTATTATGTATGTCATCTGCTATTATCACTGCTTCATTTTCTATTCTTCTTCAACAAAAAATGGTGTTTATTTTGGCGTGTAACTTTTCGATTGTGTTCTTCTGAATAGGCGCGGGGGAGAGAAGCAATTGTTGCTGGATTTTATCATGAAGGTTATGAGGAGCCTCTTTTAATGCTTATGAAAAGAAGAGGTGTTCATGCTGGTTTGGTGGTGAAGGTTGGAACTATGCATTTTAAAATGTCATTGAACTCGTAGGTTTCCCGAATATCTACCTTGGTAAATCTGTGTCTTGAAAGAGACTGTTTTAATTTGAAACAAGAATTGCAGTTCTCTGAGTTGGTTTGCCTAATATGTTATTTCTCTTTTGAGTATCATCAACTTATTGATCGAAAGGAACTACGTGTTTACTTTCTGACTCTGGTGCGTTTAATTCAGGGTGAGGAAGGGGCCCTCTCAATGACAACAAAGTTGAAATCTGCGAATGCATCAAAAGGACTTCCTGTGAACTATTGTTCAGGGTTTCGTTCATTGAGCATGGTGTCCGCTTTTGAACTTGATGGTATCTGTTAATGTTTTTCTTACTTTCCTTGAATGATTGTTGTCTCATGTTTGTTCACACACGCACATTTATAGACAGTCTCATAATAGCTTTCGTCACACACACACGGACACAGTATTTACTTACAAACAGTATTTTTACTTATTTATATCTGACCTTCGAGTTTTCCTAATGTTGTTGTGGCTAAGATCATAACTAATGCTATGATATTGGTAAATGCTCATGACAGTACTAGTGGATTGAGTTTGTGTCAATTTTCAAGCATTAAAGTTGAAGCCTTTTTTAACTTTTGGTATTTCAGGGGTGTCACGTCAGAATTTCAATACTGAAGTTAATGCCAAGGACTTCGGTTTTGAACCCACTGATACACCAAGAACTGATAGATCAGTAAGTTGGCTTTGTGATTATTTCTTTTATATTCTCTGCTTGTCTTATCCTTCGAGATTGTGGTTGATGTGTTGTGTAGTGATTGATGGTATTCCTAATGCACGCCACATTTCCAGTAGCACATTGTTCAAAGTTATCTGTCTTTTTTTCACCAAATGAAGAACTGGATAGCTCAAGGGATTTCAGTAATCATGTCTCTTCGGAACTATTCTATTTATGGATGATAAATTTTGTTAAAAACCTATGGAAAGAAAAGTGGCTACATTCCCTCTCACACGGGCTGTATGCAAGAAAATACCTTAAGGAAGAAGTAGAAAGAAAAAAGAAAAGAAAAGAAAGGATACCAATTGATTAATTATTTCGTTAAAAACCCAAGAATAAGAAAAGAGGTTGCATCCCCTCACACACTGTATGCAATAAAATACCTAAAGGAAGAAGTAGGAAAAAGAGAAAAATAAAGTTACCAGCTGATTATGAGGGTAACTTACAAATCATATAGCCTTAAGGGTAATGTTTTCAAGTGCAGATCTCATTTACTTTGCTTTCTGCTTCCAAGTATTTATGATGCCTTCTCTTTAGTCCAACTTTTATGATCCTATAAATGTGTGTTTATTGTCTATATATATACACAGTATTGTGATGCCTCTCAGGTAGTACTGGTTCAGAATTTAAGACTCCTTAATTTTGACTGAAATATTGAGGATAACTTTGCATCTTGTTATGTTACAATCAATTGGCCATTATAAGTCTGTTTTTGCGGTCCTGAACGATTTTCCACATGAAATTTTCAAAAGGTTTCTGTAGTCTACCCACCAAACTGCTTTTCAACATGGCAATCCAATTCCTTACACTGCAGCGCTGAATCCGATGCACAAATCCTCATTTCAAGTTCAGCAATGAGAAGTCACCACATGATTGACTGAAACACGCTGGCTTTACTCTTATCCTGATTCTTATAGCCTTTTTCTTTCACACAAGTCTTGTCATTATGATACACTGTATGTTTCTTCTGATGTTAGGTTGCCAAGAATATAGAGCTGGGTTTAGCAGCTCTCGATGGCCAGAAAGGACCAGCATATGATCGAATTATCTTAAATGCTGGAGTGGTCGATCACCTGCTAGGATGTGATGGTGCAGAAGATATATCCACTGCACTGGACAGAGCCAGGGAGGCCATTGACAGTGGTAAAGCTCTTAAAAGGCTGTTAAATTACATAAAGGTCTCCCACAAAATGAGGTGAACGCAACTGTTTCTGGAAAGCAGCGAACATTGATGAAAAGAAAATACGTTCACAGGATTTCCTTTTACGTCGAATTTTTTCCCTTAAAGAGTTATCTTACTGGTTTTTTTTTTTTTTTTTTAAATCAAATGTGGTCTAGGTGGCAAACCTTCTGATCATATAAAGATTGTGAAACCTTGTCATGAAAAAAGAAGCACGCTTCTGGTGTAAACTAGTCTAGTCACTCAAGCAATACTTTTTTTCTTTGTTCTTTTTTCTTGTAACATCTACATCGGATTAAATAAAGTTGTATTTTTACACTTGGCGATGGATGGGAAATTACAACCACCTGGAAAGAAGAATTATCATTGGTGTGTCGAAACTAGAAAAAACATTTTTGTTGCATTCTTACCTTAGCTCCCAAGCAAACAATTGGAATCATCCAACAGACAGTCAGGAGGATAAGTGGATCACCATTGAAGGCTAACTTAAGCTCTTGCAAGTTTCTTTCACTGATACCAAAAACAAAGAACTCAAAAAGTTTAAAGATATCTATGAAACAATTAATAGCGGGTCCTCGTGGAATCGAGTTTATGTTGCATGTGGAAGTGTTGGTTCAGAAATTGGCACCAACTGCGTACAGCAAGAGCTCTGAGTGGATTTATTGCTCCTCTGAAAATAACTACCTAGAAGAAAATTATTTTCCCGAAATGGTTTTACATGCTCATTGATTATAATCTGAGAGCAGGAAACGTGATATGCCATTTACTGAGTTTGAAAAATGTTATGAAAACGAGTCGTTCATCATGCCAAAACATAAAACTTTGACATTATTGTATTTCCAATAATCATTCATAGACGCCCATCTCACATCAATAATTCTGGCCTTACCACCTAAAGGTAGTTTCAGACAAGCGTTCCCCATAGCTTCCCTCAAAACATAAAATTTACAAGACTGATTATGATCAACATGTAAAATTTACAAATTGGTTATTAAGCTGAAAATCCTACTTAAAAAACTTTATTCTGATTGTAAGTTCCTGCTCTCATTGTTTTTCAAATACCGAAGACTTGATGTTACTCGCACATGTCAAGATGAATGAAAAAAGTAAAACTGTAGAAAGTTAAAAGAGGAAAAATAAAAAAAATTGAACAAATGAAAAGGGAAAAAAGGCAAGAACAAAAACGAAACTCTCATTATCAACAGTTCTCACCACTTCAACACCATCAAGATGATTAGGGGTTTGTCAACAAATGTCAGATTTGAAGAGCAGCTGCTATTGAACCAGCTAGACTAAGAACTTCAAATGGCGGTTTTTTCATCACTTCCTTCACTGTCAATGGGCACGAGTCTGTAATCCAGAAGTAGGTTAGCCCAGCCCCTGGGTGGCCTGTATAAAAACAAGAGAAACAGTCAAAAAATGAACAGAAAAAGGAACTGAGAAAAGGATTAAAAAATCAAACTTCGGAAGAAATGCCATTTTGATTAGTTCCATCTCAATTCTCAAAAGCAAATGGGAAGGAGGCACAAGTTCAAGTGCAGTAACAAAATTAGAAAGGCAAATTGCCAAGAAAGTTATTTAGGATGGTATTTGGGAAAAGAAAAATCATACATTGTTCTTACAAAATTTTCTCACTTCATGATGGATCGCTTCAGTGTCAATAACCAAAACCCACCTGTAATGTGGTGTTCTGGAGTGGGATAATGCAGTGTCGTATCATACTAGAAAAATTGCACACAAATCTCTGCTTGTGTAACATTACTCTTTGAAAACCCACTTGCTTATGATCTATACAAAGATGATGAAATATAAAATACAAGTTCTTAATGAAAAAATCATCAAAAGAACCAAGAGTATCAAACAATGGCCACATCTGCTTTATGGTACCAACACACCAGCGTCCCTGGCCCAAGAGACTTGCAAATTGGACAAGCATTTCAGCAGCATCAGAAAGAGGACCTAATCTTCTGTTAAACAATCCCCAAGCAGTGGCAGTTGGACCCAGAACCAATTATGTTTCAACCAGCAAGATAGGAAGTTTTCATTTACATATGCAAGCACGTGAAATAAACCATATATAAAGAAAAAATAAAATATTAGGAGATATAGCAATAGATTATAGAAAATATGAAAAAAAAAGAAGGTTATTTTAAGAATACTGTTGTGAATCAAGAAGTTGGTTCTCTGAAAAGATATAATCCAATGCAGGCAGAGAAGGTGGCTGAAGGGGTTGGACTAGTTGGTTAACCAAATCAAAATTTTCGAGTTCTTTTCGAGTTCAAAACTGTTGATTGAATTTAAAACGAAGATCTACCATTTCCAATTTTATTGCCTGAAACAAGAAAAAAGGATACCGTAGAGCATTAATTTTATCTTCATGTTTAACATATCTATACACATCATGTTAGCTTGCCAACAGAAGGAAAAAAGTTTAAAATATCAATGACTACATGAATGCTGTACCTCCATTATCAAATTCAAAGCGTTCCCACGATCTATTTGGAAAAATCCCATGAGTCACATAGGCACTTATTTTTGCCGCTCCGTGGTTAGCCAATATTTTCTACAATACATGAGGACCATGAGAACAAGTTAGCAAATATCCTCATCGAAGCTATAAATAAAGCTATAGATGAAAAGGTAATTATTTCATATATTTTAGAGGTGTTGGGAACTGTGCAAGTGAACTTCAAAATGATGAAGCCAAATATGATTAGGTAAAATTGTTGATCATCCTATGATTTCTTGCGTCCAAACCCAAGTTCTTTTAAATTGATTTTCCAATATAATATATATGAATAAAACAGTCAAATTTGATATCTCTCGGAAATACACAACCGACTGAGATTGTTTGCCACATAGAAACTTCTACATGACTAAAAGACTGATGAATTTATTTATATGCTTTGAGTCTATATGCACAAGAGTTAAAATGATAATTTATATCTACTCATATTAGTGTATTTAAGAAAATTAGGAAAGTTCAAAAGCAATGTGTAGTAAGTGATATTCCAAACCTGAAAATGCACCTTCATGACATAATAAATACAACTACAGATACTTCTACAGATATAAGCGTCTAATAAAACAACTAAAAAGTGCATAATTATGAGACTGCAAATAAACTCAACAATATGTTAAAAGCAATATCTCAACCAAAACAAGCATTTCAGAACTTAGTAGAGATTTTAGAAGATTTTACGAATTTCAAGACATAACAAATACAACTACAGATACTTCTACAGATCTTAAGCATCTAATAATACAACTAAAAAGTGCATAATTACGAGAACGGAAATAAACTCGACAATATGTTAAAAGCAATATCTCAACCAAAACATACATTTCAGAACTTAGTAGAGATTTCAGAAGATTTTTTGAATTTCAAGGCATAATAGATATATCAAGAGAGGGTTCTACAATTTACCAACACCTAATGGAAACATATAAAAAACGCAATGCATTTTTATGGCTTTCAAAGAATTCAAGAACGCTTCATCATAGCATGTCGGTGCATCAAGACATAATGCTGCAGCCATAGAAAAAGAAGCTTCAGAATTACCTTATTTTGATTTTTAGTTCTGCATATTCTAGTTTTTTTTTTTTTTTTTTTTGTAAGCCTATTCTATATCTTATTACTGTTTAGGAATTTTTTATGTAAATAGGAATTAGAATATTAATTAAGAGTTCACTCTTATGTGTGTTTTCCTTTTTCCTATTTGGATTTCTATTTTCTATTTAGTTTAGAACTATTAGGGCTTTTGGTGCCTATAAAAGTAGCAGCTAATCCATGAAATTAGGGAGGACTTTTGGAAATGCAATTGTAAGCATTTTGATTTAGTTTGAGAGCTGGGTATTCTCCCTCTCTCTATTCTTGACACTGTAGATTCCTGATTTCCTTCTAAAATCCTTAATTCTCCAAACTTGGCTCACCACGGATCCTTAGGGATGCAAATTCAAAGTTGTCCTACATCACATATGAAAGAGAATACTAAAATGTCCTTGATGGAAAACTTACATTCTTTAAATGGAGAATATGAGTGTAAACAATAGTAGCCGATGAAAATCAACATGGAGAAAAAGGGATTATGTATAAGTATTAGGCACCTGACATTCAATCAGAGTGCCACCAGACTGAACCAAATCATCAACGATAACAACGTGACGCCCTCGAGGGTCTCCCTCCTTGATACGCACAATTCTTTGGTCACCTTCCCGAACTTTAGCACAAATGATCTGCATATCGGAGTGCAAAAATTATGCAGGTAGCTCAATGCACATTAAAAGCAAGCAGGATGAAAAAAGAAAGCGGAAGGCATGCAAGAATCCTTGACATACAGATGGTGTGATGATGCAGTTGAACAGTATTTAGATGCACCCCTTAAGCTGATATTGCTTTAAAAACGTATAAGATTCGAACCAGTTTTTTTTTTCCTCCATATTGTTTTTTAAAATTTTTTAAAATTTCTAAAATAATGTAAATAAGCCAAAAAAAAAAAAGAAAAGACTATTATGGACTATGGAGTCCTTCCTCTAATCCAAATCGTCTAAATTAGCCTATATGAAAGGTAATAAATATTTGTTTAAATAAAATTAAAGCATAAAATCATACTACATAATAAGGTATCAAAATTTAAATGCAAGTAAACTAATCCACATCAAAAATATATAATGATAAAATTGATTGTTCAAAAATACTGTAAACCGAACTACCAAAATTGAGAGGACAATCAGAGTTCAAAATGTAAATAAAAAAATAATCAGTTTTTGGTCAAAACCGAACTGAAACCAAAAAATTGAAATAAATTCAGTTTTTTTTTTTTTTAGTTAAAAACCGAGCCAAAATTGATTTGATTCGGTTTAAACCAAATATTGCTCCCCTCTAGTGGGCACTGTGGAATCCTTAATGTCATTGCAGACGTTCAAAAACAAAATTCCAATATTCATCTACTTTATGGAGCTCCTCTATTGGGACCAAATGCAAGAACTCATACTTGTACTTGTTCTACATGGGTAAAGAAGAGGGGTGGACATTCTTACCGGCTATCTCATATTTATTTCTAAGTGAAAGTGGATTATGATTTCCAAACAGACTATCAGATACCTGACTTCTACCAAGAAAAGCAACCAGCTTCCAAAATCCAGTCCCATTGATCATTAGTAAAGGAGCAAATAATATCACAAATAAACTAGAAATGTGCAAGGAAAACAGACAAGGAGAAGCGATATGGTTATCTATGCTAACACCTGTTTGGACACCCAGATGCATGTCAAACACAATTATGAGCAAATCATAGTGTCTGGGAAACACAGACAAGGTGTTATTACCATAGGGAAATGTTGCAGTTGATTATGAAATCGTTTCCATGCACCATCATCAGGAAAAGCAATTGCTATCTGAACAGTCAAGAAAATAGCATATATATACCCTCAAAATGATAAATACTTCAATAAATAAGTAAATAACCAGAAAAAAACATCAAAATCTTACCTTGTCAGAATCAGGGAGCTCTTGAAGCCTATTTTTAAGCAAAGGTATGCCACTCTCAAAGCATGGTAAAATATTATCACCGAAGTAGAACCTCTCCTACTTAGATGCAATAATAAAACAACGAAAACAAATTAAATTGAGGAAAAGAAAATCACAGGTTTATTGACTGGCTAACAAACAACAACAACAACAAAAGCATAATCCAAAATAGATGGCTCTAAAATGGTTTGGGGCAGGCTATATAAATACTTGCGATCATAAGCTAAATCCTTTCTGACTAATACAAAGTCAAAGAAAAAGAAAAGGACCTGAAGAGCATGGATATCAAAAGTGACCAAGCTAGTAGGACCTCCCCTGGGAGTTGGTACATTGGACAAGATCCTAGCAAGAGTGAAAGCAGTGGCAACATCTCCTTCGTCCTCCATACGCTCCGAAGTTCCAGTGGGAAAAAAGGGAAGCACGAGGGTGAAGGAAGAAATGAACAATTTGGGCAAGGCGTAGATAATTGAAAGTTGCTCAAATATTACTTTTGGAGAGCTAAAAGAAGCCAGAAAGGCAACATGCTGACCCCGAATTCCATGTGCATTTGGTATAAATAAATTTGGAAACCCATCATCAAATGTCCTGCAATAGTAATAAAAAATTATAATGATTATTAGGAAAAAAAAAGCGATAGAATTTATTAAAATAAAAAAGGAGGGAATGACCTCCAGGTGATGGCGCGGAGCTCGATTGAATCGGACTCAGCAGCGATTCGTTGAGCTAAGGGTTTGGTTTCGGCGCAATAGAAAAGGGAAACCTTTTTGGAAGGCGAGGAGTCTGATGAGGAGGAGGAGGCGGCGGGAATTGAAATAGAGGACGGAGAAGGAGAAGGAGGAGAGTTTTGCATCGAGCGAAGATGGTGATTGGTTGCTGCTGCTGCTGGCACAAATCTAACACTCAAATTTTGGTCGCGGGCGTCGCACCTAATCCTAATAGTAATACTAGTGTGTGATTTGGTTTTGAAGAGCAAAGAAGGGAGTTTGGGACATTTGTATGACAGATTTTTGAGCGAGAAAGCGGCGGCGGAGGAGGAGGAGGATTGGAGTGGTGGTTTTGCCGCCATATCACTCGCTCTCTCTAGTTTGTGATTCGATTTGATTTTGCGTTGAGTTAATTAATCTCTGAAATTTCGGAAATAGTTAGTATTAGTTAGCTACAAGCTACTGTCTCTAGTCTCTCTTCTCAAGTCTCTACCTACCACATTGTCCTGCCGGCCTTTCTTCTTCCTTTACAAAATCATTGCATCCATATCTATCTGGTCTCCATCAATTGTAGGTTTTTGGCATTAAGGATATGGGTTTAACATTTCTGATGTAATCGGTAGGTGTTCAGTGGTTTTGTTTGTTTTATGGAAAACATATTGTAGGGTCCACATGTTAAGAGTGCTGATGTAAGGTGAAATATTTTAACCTTATAAATTTGAAAAATATTTGGAAATTATAAATTACAATAGTACAAGAAGGAAGGGAATTTTATTTGCTACCAACAATTTTTTTTTTAAAAAAAAATTAAATTCTATGTTTCCTAAAAGATTTCAATTTCAAAAATTAAATTTTGTGTTGACCTCTGCCATCCCATCTATAATTCTGAAGCAGTTGCTGGCAGCTGTAGCTAAAGCATGTGGTAGTAACAGTTTTAGCAATCAATATTTTAGCTTCAGTTCGACCATCACTTATTATATAGAGCATGTGGTATCTATATAAATAAATAAATAAAAGAGATGAAAAAATAGGATTAGTTGCTGGGATACATTCCATAGAGGCACTGCATCAGTAGCATACATAGGAAAACACGTAAGCATGGTTAGAAAGGAAGCTGACTGTGGAATTGGTTCTGTTTGCAGCAGCCCATGGGATGGACATGAAAAAGGTTGATCCGTTACTTAATTGTATTTTTTTTGGAGCATAGGCATGCTAAATACCACCAATTGTATGATACATCTATGTGGATTATCCCAGCTCTTATTCTGTATGGAATATTCTGCATAAATGATTATAATGATTTACGGTAGATATGAAAGGTTTGATAAATGGATCGAAAACGCATGTTAGTTCATACCTTGTCATGGTCGATTGGTGGTAAGAGAAGGTGTTCAATGGTTGTCCTATTCTTGTATCTTATTTGCTCTTCATCTATATCTTTGAATGCTGCTTGAGAAAGTCTTAAGCTGTGTCGTTTATGGTATGGGTTATCATGGAAAAGGAAGGGTTATTGCTTTGTTTCTGAGTTGCTTCTGGGGTGTTAATGTACATGGTCAAGGAAGACTTGAGGTAACTTTGTTTTTTAACTATAGATGGATGGTTTTTGATGGGTGTGCAAAGTTGTATAGGTATTGTGAGCGAATGACCATTCATATTTACATCTATTTTTTGATGGGTGTGAAATAAAACTTGTTATGTGACATGTTAAATCAAGCCAGTGCATGAATGACTCAACATTAGTTCACTTTGTTCTTTTGTATATGCAGATAGCCATGATAGCTCTGCAGTAAACAACTTTTTCCGTTTGTACATGTATAAGTAACTTTTTAGTCACATGGCATGTGAACAAAAGATTCATACTTTAATTTACTTTAATGTTGGTGTTGCTTATTTTATTATGCATTTATTTTTTTCTATCTTTTTTGGGTAACGCAGGAAAGGCTATTGATTCAGATCGATGGGTCATTAGCTGTTTGAATGAGTCTACAAATTCCTGTTGCGTATTTGAGGTTTTTTTTCTTGGTATGACCAGCGGATTTCAAAGTGTCGTTTTTTTTTTTTAATTTTTTTTGTTGGAGCAAACAATGATATATGTGATTGAATAGTGGGTTTCATGATTGAAATTTTTTCTTTGGCACGTGTTTGGAAGACAGTTCAATAAATAAGTTTTTATATTTTGTTTGACAGGTTCATACATTGCTATCTGATTATATGTTTGTGTGTTCAAAAAGAGAAGACTATTGAATAGAAAAGGAAAAATATATATGTGTCGTAAAATGAAGCGTGGTTGTTGGTAGTTGAACGTTTAAATGACAAAATTAAGCAAAATAATTTGCAGGGTAATTGCAGGAGCCAAAGAAACGATGAAGCTGAATATTGTAAATTAAAAGCTTGACAGATGATGGGAATCATTAAATCTGGTAGAAGTAATTTGCATGGGAGGCAAATGCTTACAAAGGATATTCAATTTTATAGCATAAATTGTCTCAAGCAATCATAAATACAAAATAGTTTTTCAAGGCCAAGATAACATAATATTCAAATGAATGCATAAGTATAATCTAATAGCAATAATTTACAATAGAAGGCAAATACTTATAGAGGATATTCAGTTCTATGACATAAATTGTCTTAAGTAATCGAAGTTCAAAATGGTTTTCAAGGCCAAGATAATATACAACTAAATGCACAAGCATATATTAATGCATTTGAATCCCGATATAAAACGATGTTAGTTTCAAAATAGAACACTTTAAAAGATGCTAAACAACTAATATGAGGACAATGTTCTCATTGCGGGTAGTTCTTTAAAGTCGAAGTTCGGATGGTTCTAAGCCCGATTAGACTCGCATTAGGTAGGGTACTTTAGTGAATTGAATGATTTTGGATAACATTTAAGAGTGGGTTATGGTTGGATAATTGACCTTGTGTTTTTTCGAACTAAACATTGGTTGTTTGAGTTTCAAATCTTCTCTTTGTGCCTAACGATCATCAAGGCTATTTAAATTATCAACAAGTTATTGTTCTATTGGTGCTTTGACTAAAGGTAAAAGCACAACCCCCGCTTTGATACCGGTGTATATGGATCGATCAGGATCGAAAGAGCTTGATTTAGAGTTACAAATGTTTGTAATGGTTGCATCAACGTGCCCCGGTCATTGATATGTTCTAATAAAGGGTTGCTGGAGACTTGCATAATTGGAATCATCTTGAAAGACAATGTTAATGAAGATGTCACATCCGTCGTTTTTTGCTCTAAAAGTACCAAAGTGTATCTAGAATGCATGATTCTTCATAAGTTTTTCAACCATCATCGGTTGAATTTTATAAGGGTCTTTAAACTGTTCATGAATAACAAAGTGATGTGTAGAGTTTTTAAAGAAGTTTTTTGTAGATTTTCCAATCATTATGAGGTTAGCAACATCATCACCATCGATTACAATATAGTCAACTTTGTACCCGAACATAATAACATCAATTAACAAGATTGATTATGGAGCTTGCAAGTTAGTTGTAGCAATTTCATACATATATGTATATTTGATGAGTGTAAATGTAAGTCGAGACGATGTAATATTTTGACAAATAATAAATTGATGTGCACTAAAAAAGATTAGTATGGTCTATCCATTAATGCATTTTATACCGTGTTCTGAAATTGGTTTTAGAGTAAAAGAGTAACTAATAATATTAATGGTGGATATTTTGTCGAGGAAAAAAGAAATAGCTTTTTTATGTAAATCCAAAGTGACAAGATAAGTAATAGCAGAGTCTGTGATTTAAAATGATGAAGGAAAGTCGGATTGTGTAGTATGGCATATGAGCACCATCTATGTAATCGTGTTGTTAGCATTTTAAATATGATCCTTCTATTTCGAGGAACCAATTGCATTTGATACATCCATTATACCATCATCCCCATCGAAGATCATAGTCTATTATGAAAGCTCGACATGTAAATTTTTCACCATACGATGCAAATAATAGAAGGAAATACCGTCGTAAATAGAATATGTAAATGACAGATCGTTATTTGATATAAAATTAAAAAATGTCATTGTTTATGTGACATCAAAGTTGAATAATGCTTCAGCTTTTCTTATATGGTTAGGGTTCGATGTAGTTGCATAAGGTTTATAACAAAATATTATAATAACATAGAAGATCTAACTTGCTTGTTGTTAATGGTTTTTTTTTTTTTTTATGGGTGTCATTGGGGTTATGAGTTTAACGATCAATTGAAAAGGTTCAAAGAGGTCATATGTGTTTAAAGCCGAAAAGGTTTTGATTAGTACCGACTTAATGTGTTTGCCAACATTTATGTTGGCGAGCACATTAAGTCCTTAATGATCAACCCAAAGCGATGATCGTGGGGGTTCATAGCTCGCCAATGGTTTTTCTATTAAGCTTTTTCTATTCTTCGATAGTTGTATTATAACCTAGTGGTATGGGCAACTCGTTGTATTTTTTAGGGTACAAAGGCCAAGCTAAATACATATATAATAATAACACGTAACTATCGAATAAATAGCTATGAAATATGTGGGATAATCAAAGAGTGTGATATACCATTGTTTGTAGAAGATGAGTTCATGGATGTCGGGATTGAAATACCACTTGGATGCTACTATTTTGTTTACAATGACTTTGCCTTTACTCATTTACATGCAAAGTAAATATTCTTTTTTGTACACGATGTAATAAGGAGAAAATATGCATATAAAATAAGATGAATAAAGACACTAACTTAAGAACTCACCCATTCTAAGTCTTATAAAAACTACTATAATAAGGGGCTGTAGAGCGTATCGATAGCTTTATCTTCAAAGCATTCTGCCACATCACCCCCACAAAGTGATACGAAGGTCCTCATTTCTTGGTCAACAACAATGTAAAAAAGTATAAATAATTATTGGCTTATTTGTTTAAAGTATTAATGTTGACGCTTGAAAGTGAGATGACGAACCTAATATTCTCAATAGAGATATTTTTTTGGACTCGAGGCAAAAACCTCAAACATCAATTTTTTAGAGGGCCCGAATTGCTTTGATACATCTAAAGACATCTATTTTGAGGGAAAATAGAAAGATCGAGTGTGAGAAAGAAGTCTATTTGAAATAGAAAAAACCAAGTATAAAAGAAATGTGATTTGTTTGGTTCACCTATAAGCATCTTATAACCCTATTCTTTTGATGGTAGATTATAAAAACCGATAAGATTTGCAAAGGTTGAATATGAATATCTCGCGTAAGGTCAATAATAGCTTAGTCGTCAGCAATAAGCATTACCGAATTTATTTTTGAAGGTGTAAAATTTACCAAGTTCATAAAAACCTCCCTTATCAATTTGTCTAGAAAAGTAT